ACCCGAGGCCGGGCAGTGAGCGAGAATGACAGCTTCGAGCATCTCTCTGGTGATGCCGTCATAATTGAGGATCTTATGGAAGACCCCAGCAGGAAGTGGGCGCCAGAGGATGGTGGGCAAGTCGGCGGCAATCGTAGGAGCAACAGTGGGAAGGGGTACCATGATGTCAGTGGTGGAGGTGATGGTAGGAGAAAAGATGTTGTTGTCGAGGTCGCCGCACGGTCGAGAGAGGTCAAGGGAAGTACTGCACGAAAGAAGGTGCGCGAGTTGGCCGACGGAGGACGTGAGTCGTGCTTGCTCTGAGACTCAGGATTGTTTTGGTCGCCAGCGACGACACGGAGTTCGTGGCAGATGCCAAGGCTCAAGAACATCAAACGGAGGCAACACAGTCCGCTCAACTCATATCTGCTTGGAAGTAATCTGTTGTGTAGTCCATCACTATTCGTATGCAGGAGCTCAGGGGCTCATTGGAGTATCACATGATTCCTGCAAATGCAAGTGTATCTGGCGACGAATCCCCACTCGCCTTTGGCCGCAACTGCGATAACCTCACCAATCTTACACTCTTCGGAACGTTCAATCTTGACGACCTGATCTCCAAGCCCCTCATCCTGTTTCCTTGTCTTCTCGAGCTGGACTTGGGGTGTGTCATCTCGCATATACCTCCCTGGGATGGGATCACGGAGGGATTGGCGAGCAGTTTTGCTAGAGATCTGGCAAAGCATGCTCCTCAGTCGATTCAACTCGGGCTGGGAGGAGGCGAAGAGGAAGACCTGGGAGGTCTGGTCAGGGTGGTCTAGAGGTGAGACGGACAAGATCAAGTCATCGTGAAGACAAAAGCGAATATCCTCAAAGGCCACTCGAAACAAGCTTCAATCCAAGTTATTCCCAGCGTGTTCCTTCCACACATGATCCATATCCGGCGCAAACATCTCTATAAACAACATTCATCTCCTCTTCTTCTTCGTGCAGCCTCAGCTCGCATCTCGTTTGCCAATATCACAGTCACCCAAGCGCGACTGTCCGAAATGGGATTTTCTACCTCCGGTATGCAAATTCTTACGGCTTAGGGTAAAGGCTGCGCATCCAATGAATGTCCCTAGTCTTCCGGGATGTATGTAGGTATGTATGGATACAGGACGAAGGAGGAAAATGTACATGTCTGATGGGAGAGTGGGGGTCGTGGATAGAGGAGACTATGTTCGGAGCTATAGATTGTCGGGCAACCCCACAACGGATTCTCCTTGAAGGGCATCCTTTACAGATCCGAGCGATCCTTAACCATGAATAAAGCAACCAACGGAGCTTTAAACAGCCGATAGATCTTTGGCACTGGCAAGACATCCGAAAAAGTAAACAATAATTAAAACTAATTGAATTATTACCATAACCGAAATCAGAAATCAAAGACGCAAGCATAGAACAAAGTCTACATTGTTATGGGATACTTCCACAAGCCACTCTTCTCGATCAAGGCGATAGTCGTAGGGAAGTAGTGGTCATCCGTGAATATGTAGGTGCGACGATCTGTCACATTTTCCCGCCGCTTGAGGACAGGAGTAGATCTGAACAGAGGTGCAAGCTGTTGCCCAGCCCTAACTTGAGGTACGAGCCCATGAGCAGCATAATCGTTCGGCAGTGGGACTACGGCGTCCCGCCAAGCAGCGAAGATCTCATTTGCAGAGGCCTGGATTGCCTCTTGGCACCTCTGCCGATTGGTGTTGTCGGCAGCATCGTAAAGACGCTTGTCTCCATATGCATGCCACATTTCGTCTCTGGCGTTGATGACGTCCAATCCAATGGCATTATCTTCATCATGCATGAACTACTAGATTGTCAGTTATGATGCTCAATTTCTAATCAGATATGTTACCAACCTTGGCACACAGATCCGCGATGCCCGCTTTGTCGTGAAGCTGGCGCCTAGGGGTTCTCAGGTGACCAGCGGAAAAAGAATCCTCGAGGAAGTGATCCGCAAAAGCATTCATCGCATAAGCACGCCAAAAATTCTCTAGGCTACGGTCTTTGGTGGCTTGGATGAGAGCGGTTGTGTGACCAGTTATGTAACATGTGATAGCATCGGTACCGAAATGATCCCAATTGACTTTTGCAAGACCCAAGTAGCTCAGTGTTCCACTTGGGCGGTTCCACGTCGCCCACTGGAATTTTGCTGTCATATCGGACAATTGAGACCCACCATATACGGTCGACGGATCCACGCCGTTTGCGATCGCTTGGTTGATCAAGGTCACCTCCTGGGAGAGATATCCGAGGATTGTGTTTGCCTCCGCGGGCTGTCTGGTGCGGTCAACTGCCAACCAGCTCCAGGCTGCGAGGAATCTATTGCGTCTGTCGTCTGCCGAGGTCCCATCACTGATAGGTTGGTCGGTCCCATAAAAGTCGCCTGCCAATCCGTTGATCTGACCGTATGTGGCAACGACTCCATTGTCGAGCGTCAACGGAAATGCAGCAGCTGTTTGAGTCTCGCCATTGAGTCCTACTGTCAGCGTGATGTTGTTGCCCAGGAAACCATGCTCGGCATATTCGAATCCTATCACACAACGTCAGACAACTACGGCGAGAGGGCATCTGCTGCGATACCTAATCCGTTCTTCTTCTTCTGTGCGCCGACTATTGGAGCAAGTCTTGGGCCTTCTCTAAAACAGACAGATCCTTCATCATGGCTCTGAGGAAGATCGAGAGAGGATTTGTTTTGTTGGGGTGAGTCGCTCATTGTCTGTTGGGTCTGTAATGATGAGATGGTTGTGTTGATCATTGTGGGAGAGAACACGACCTTATATACCCAGCCGTTTGTTCAAATCACCATAGTGTTGGCCAAAAATCGCGCATAAGCTGTTGCAACATGACATCGCCAGTAATACCACAGCATAACACCAGGGAAGGGGGCGTTGGCACATCCTGTCGGCAAACATTACGCAGTCGATGGCGTGCGCATGAGGCTGCCTCTGAAGTGTCTCGCCTATTACCAAGTGAACCAAGACTGCGGGGCCCCAGGATCTTGTCAAAGTGTCAATAACCAGGTATACTATTGGCATGAGCTGACGCTAGCTCTCCATCTAGATTGACTTGTAAGAAAAGAACCAATCATGGTATCGTCAGCTACACGAGCTGTGCTAGTTGTACTGTTAATCCATGCAGATCGTTCCAGCTGAAAACCTCACGTTGCTCGTCCTGGGTACCATTGTCTCGATTTAGATCAGAAAAACCCTGTCCCCTTTGTTTGCACCATATCATGGACATTCTCGGCCACGCCATTCAAAACAATAGCTTGTCTACATCTGCGGTATAACGAGATTCATGATATAATGGACAGCGGTCGACAAATCTGTATATTGACTATACGAACAGTGCTCCCTAATTCGTCCATTGACGCTTGTTGGACCAGCTACGATCATAGTCATCGCCAGATTGCTTAGTTGAGCTTCTGCTCTTGCCAAACACCCTGACTACCGAAGCTTTCATGAATCAACGAGGCCCAAGTAATGTCAACACAGTCTCTGCCTACCATTGAGGGCATAGTGGTACGCATCTGCTTGAGAATCCAAGCTTACGCATGTGTGTGTATACCATCAAATTCCTCTCCATTGACATTCCAATGGAACATCCATGTAAGTCAAAACTGAATTCTTGACGGGTCCATCGATCTTCGGTTCAGCTTGGCTGTTTCCTTTATCAATAACCTGACTGAATCCACGGGCATGATGCTATGTGAAACATCGTCCACGAATTCCATTGGCTTGTACGGGCAGGACCGGTGGATCACTCCACAAAACTGACGGCAGCTGATGTCTCAATCCCCCGAGAAGCTATTGTGCGCAGCTCGACCGTTGTGAGTGTTCGCGCGTTGTGACAGCTCAGCCGTTGTGACAGCTCGGCCGTTGGCTCAGCTCGGCCGTTGGCACAGCACAGCTCGACTATTGATACAGCTCAATCTTCCACACAGCTTCGCCGTTACACAGTCATGCTGCCAGTCGGATGTATGCCCGCCATCAACTGACCAATCACGATACCCCACGCGAGCCTTTCACGGCAGACGCAGAGTTGAGTGATATAAACCTCTCGCTTGACATCACCCTTCGCCGTGAAAAAGAAACCGCACTATAGCGCTCGTCTCTACCTGGCTCCTCTCCCCTAGGGTCTCAAGTCGCCTACCTGGTAGAGCAAAAATGTGTCGCAGACAATACCCTACTCTTAAAAAACGCAAATGTGTTTTAGCACTCTGCCCGATGATATCGGGTCTCCTCCATTCGAGATGTCAGTCCATACTTCTCCGAACAGACGTACCCCAGTTCCAAACACCCAATCACGAGAATCAACGAGCGACTTGACGTAGACATAACTCCTCTCGAACGAGTTCTCGTGATGCTTGTTGTGAACAACCCTCAGCTAGCGAAGACGAGGAAGAACTAGCTTACATGTGGCCTACCACTCGCCAGGAGCCTCAAAGTCGATGGTCAAGGTCTGCACATGATATACAAGGGTCTGCTGGTCTTTCGAATGCCGCGGTGGAAAAACGTCAGTTGTGCCGTATCAACGTGCTGCCAAAGTAGACATTCTGCCTGGTGTGAAGCCGGGCAGTTGGCGATGATGACTGAAGTGTCATGGAGGATGCGCGCCCAAGATCTCTACTACGCGTCGTGAGAGTATTATTGCTAAAATTGGCGTGTATGCCTCTAGACTGCAAAAGCAAAGACAAGCTTGATGAAGGGGTTGATGAAGGTAAACGATGTCCCTGGAGAGCCTTGACAAAGAGTTCATGTCACGTTGTTACTAGAAAGAGAACCCATTAATATGTGGAAGTGAACGCAAGATATTCTCGGAAACTTGCCGAGACCGTGTCGGGCGTGACAAAATAACGTTACAGTCTTTACGGAGCAGTCGCGGAATACGCCAAGCCTCGAAACACCATCGACTCAATCATGACCCACTATCTGGACCCTCATCTCTCCGTGAAGCATGGATGCAGTACCTCCTGAAGCTCACAACCTATACCACTCCCCCAACACACTCTCTCTCGTAATCGCACCCCTATGCCTCTTCTCCGTGATGACATACTCCCTATACAAGAACCCAACACCCACCGCACCACCAGGTCCAAGCACAACACTTGCTACGGCCAAAGCAGCGATGATAGTGATCCAGCTGTTTTCGACCATACCAGCAGCCTTGGCATCCCAAGCAAAGTACAGCAACCAGAGATATGTTGCCGAAACAAAGAGGAGGAAGTTCCATTGCATGACATTAGAGGTGAAAGTATGCAAGTCGGTGACAGAGGACAGCAAGTGCTGTGGCAGGAAGACTTGATGCAGAGGACTGGTAGAAGTGAAGAGAGTGTATGCCCAAATCATTGTCGAGAGGAGTGCAGGGATACCGACAGTGTATATGACAGTCGACACATCTCGCTTCGGCGCATGAATCTTGTCTTGAGCGACGGTATCTTTCCAAATCTTGCTGATGGCGAGTTGTGCGAGTGAGTGCGTGATGGGAAACAGTTGCCAGATCTGAAGCCATGTCTGGCGTTGAGAGACTTCGGGCAAAAGGTAGCTTTGCAGTAAAGGCAGATAGTAGACCATGAGTAGTGATGGCAGGATGGCGCGAGTGTATCTCATGTTAGTCAAGCGCATGTCGGTTGATCTGAACGAGTCGACGGGTGACAATACCCAGTGCACAAAAGTANNGTACAGAGGCGCCACCATGCCAGTACCTTTCATCTGCGCGAACAGAGCAAAGAGACCAGGTCTGTGGATAGTTAGTTGAGCCCATCAAGTGATAACGAAGACTTACAGCTGAACAGGCATCAAAGCATTGCAACAGCGAATTGCCTCTAAAGACCAGATAGTGAGGACCACACCAAAGTAGACGAGATAGCTGGCTGTGCGAATGCCTGCAGCAGGGTCGAGATTGGCAGACGCTGACATGTAGACGTCGTTCAGAGTGGCAGAGCTGGGNAAGTGGTCAGAGATGGAACAGAGCTTGGATCTCAGTACGTACCTGTTGCTTTGTCTACCAAAGCTCAAGATGCTCTCCGTCAACGACGAAGAGCTGAGCGCAGTATAATGTCCGGCAGGGTTTGAGACATCTCCAGCACCAGCGATGAGAGTAGAGTTGACGATACGGTAAGCATATGCGAAGATAACAAGGAAAGGTAAAGCAAGCAAAGCCCTAACCAAAAGATTCTCCTTGTTGCCTTGGCCTTGTTTGGGGTTGAACGGCATATGACCCGACAGAGAAGCCTCGGGTGGGGGCAAATAGTCAATCTTGGTCGCTCCCACGGACATATCACTGGTGAGGTTCTCCAAAAAGTCTCCCAACACGTTCAAGCCGTACCTAGCAAAGAGAGCGTGACCCCACGTTGCGAGAGCTTGGACGTTAGTGAGAAAGTTTGATGCTTCGATAGCAGCTGCAGCTCTGACTTCACGACTTTTCTGGTAGTCTTCAAGGCAAGCGACGATATGTTCCTGGGTCGGACGTTGTCCATTGGATCTGTCTGACAGCTGCTTGATCGAGTTTGCAAGCGCAGCAGCACTCTCGATTGCCGCGTTGCCGCCAAAGCCTNNGTAGTGTCGTCAGTTTCTCCTCAGCAGTTCATTGGTGAGTAGAACAAGCTTACCAGCGTTGGGTGTCATTTTGTGAGCAGAATCGCCAAGGCAGGCTATGCGGCCCCAGGTCCAAATCNNTCGATCCCATCAGCAAACGACTCGGCAGAGCAAGAACATTGCACATACCTTATATGTGGCAGTCTCGATACCGACGAGAGTGCTGGAAACACTGTTCTTGTGGAGATCACGTAGCACAACTTTGTCTGTAACCTTCATATCGCCATGACGCTCGGCATACTCGATCTTGTCGGCTTCGGTGTACTTTGGAATGTTTGGATGCTTGTAGGTCTTGTCCATCTTCTCAAAGACAAAGTAGTAGGTTCGGTCATTCTTGCCAACGATGGCCATGATGCTACGTTTTTCATTGTAGCCTACATCAATCTCGCCAGCGGGGAGACCGGAGGAAGAAGACGTGATGCCGTAGAGACATTGATACTGACTTTCAAGANNGCTAAAACAGGAGTTAGCACTGCTTTAGGAGAGGCACCGTGACGACTTACATTTCTTGTCGTTCTTGACAAGCTCTGGGTCGACTTCATCTGCTAGCCGCCACATCTCGCTTCTGGCCTTCGAGTTGACCCCATCTGCGCCAGCCAGTATATCACCCATGTAAGAAGTGCCATCATCACAGATGACAGTGACGCCACTTGAATGTTGGCGAACCGTGGTGAGATTCTTGCAAAGTAGGACCTTGCTTTTGTCCTTGATGTTGTCGTAAAGGACTTGGAGAATGTTTTGTCGGTCGCTGAAAGCGAAAGGGTAGCCACTTCTNAAACATTGGTCAGCAGTCAAGAACTAGTGTAGGTGGGTTTCTAGCATGTACCTAGCCTTCATGAGTTGCGAGACACTCGAAGCTTTGGCAAGGAGTTGACCGTTCTTATCACGGTCGTGCATCCACACGATTGGNTGCCTGTTGCGATCAGTAGATAGACTTTGTAAAGACTCGGAGGAACTCACCACACAAGCGTAAAGAGACTCTCTGCAGCCAAGCTGGTCCAGGATCTGCAGGTGATGAGTATAGAGCGAAGAGAAGTTTGGATGAGGTTGGTGAACTGACCCTACATCCGTTGGAGAGGATGCCGATGGAAGCACCGACTTGAGGTGCAATCTCGTTTCTTCGCTCGAGAAGCACATAGTCGATGTCCGCTGACTGCAAACATGGTTACACGGCGTTTGTTGACAGGGTCTGGTAAACCTACCTCGAGGGCATTCGCGAGGGTCAGACCAGCAATACCGCCCCCAGCGATGATGACTTTCATCGCAGTGGCCATGGTTCGTAGGAGATATTCACGGATGACAGATTACAGATGAAAAGATACAAGAGACGAGGATATGAGAGAAAAGACAGAAGGAGAATGCAAGAGGATATAAGAACGGGCGACACGGATTTGCAGGGAACATATCGACAGTGCTTACCTCAGACCATGACAGGAGTGGAAAATGATAGGCCTGGGTTGGCATCCACCAAAGAGCGCTTACCGGCAGATTGCGTGAGACGCATTTTGTGTTCTAGGACAGAATGTAGGATACACCACATGCTGGACACGATCCAGACAGGCAAAAGTGGGGATACCGGATTAGCCAGACAGGAAGGAACAGTTCTGACCAAGCGAGCGATGCGGCCAAGACTCGTAGATCTGAAACCAGAGGTGCATGAGGAGGATTTGGATTCTTGGGCCTAACCCTTGACCGGTGTGGAGACGGGCAGATGTCAGATGTAACAGGCAGCTTGGCAGGTCAGGGGTCAGATCAACGCATGACAGATGTGAGGAACAAAGATGGAGTGACGAGTGTATCTCAATGCGTCTTGTGAGCTCTTTCGATGGATCTTGATGAACAAAGAATCGAAGGCTGCGGTTGATGGAGTCGACGAGGCAGGGGCGGGACTGCCAGTGCCAAGGCCTGATTGGGTCGGGAAACTCCGCGTTCCTGGAGCGACGCGCGCCCTCGGGCAGCGAGCAAGACGGAAGGCGCGACTGCCAGGAAGGAGCGACCTCGAGACAAGAAGAGGAAGGAGCGACTGACTGTATGCAGCAAGAGGCGTGGATTGGCACTTTGAGGAAGGAGCTGCTGCACGCGTCAAGCAACCATCGACCGTCGCCCGACACTTCCATACCACATCCAATACAGGCCTCCCTACCAGACGACAGCATGGCCGACCTCTCGGCGCTGCCCGACCCCACGCCCGAGACATCGTTGCCCATCATTATTGACCAAGCTGAGGGCGATGTCAGCGACGCCGACGACAACGACGTCGACAATGACAATGACAACGACGGCGACGACAACGATGCCGCCCCCTCGACATACAAGGTCGTCTGTGAAGCTGCCCCTCCTGAGCGCCGCTTCCCTTCGTTTGAAGCAGCCATAGAGTTTGGTAATGCGTGGTCGCGCGACAATGGCTTCGACCTGGTGCGCATCAACAAGGGCAAGCAGGGCCGCAACCCTCAAGGCGTCACGTACAAGTTCCTGTGGGAGTGCAAGCGCCACGGCAAGCCCGCCAACACGCGCAAACTGACCCCCGACCGCCGCCAACGCGCTGCTCGGGGCTCCGTCAGGATCGGCTGTCGCATGCGCATCGTCCTCGTCGCCGTCGAGCCGCAGGTCCCTCAGGGCGAGTGGCAGATCCGGCACTGCGGGCGCAACGGGCACAACCACGGGCCCGACAATGCAGAGTCGTTCCCCGCCGTACGCCGCCGCACGCGCACGCACGAGATGGACGTCTTCATGGCCACGCAGCTGCGCCAGGGCCTGTCGCGCTCAGAGACGCTGCAGCTCGTGCGCCAACACTGGCCCGACGCGCTCGTCACCCGTCAGGACATTGGCAACTTTGCAAAGACGTTTGCCCAGAAGATTGGGGCTTCAAGACTGACGCCCGAGGCAACGCCAGACAATTCTCCCATGCCACCTGTGCCTTCTGCTTCTGTCAATGTCGTTGCTAGTGCATCTCACAACACTCAACATGCCCAGCTGCAGCACCCCCAAGCCCAGCAGTCTCTCTCTCATCCCCATCAACATGCAATGCAGTCACTGGGAATGCCCATGCAACAACCAAACCCTGAAGCCACGCGAGCTGCCTACCAGGCTGGCTACCAGGCGGCCGTCGAGCAACATCGCATCAACAGCGACCTGAACCATCGTGTGCAAGCCCTCGAGAGCTCCGTCCAAGTCCAAGACCGCATCGCCTCCCTCGAACAGACCGTCAACAACTTGACGCAACTCATCATGAGCGCCTACATGCCTCATATCCAGCATCCGCAGTCTTGATCATTTCTTTGCATGGGTTTGGTTGGAGTCGTCTCGGGTTTCTGCTTTTGCTGTACGTGATACCCACATGATTTGATTATATCGATTCTTTTTTTCTCTTCATCTCATACATCAATCAATATCCTACATTCGTCACCTTTGCCCATCCATCCCTGTCTTCAGAACAACGCTCATTGAATAGCTTAGGCCTGCGACGACAAGATCCATTCGAGGACAAGCTCGACCATCGCCAGGCACCACACAGGGCTTTGACAAGACAGGCTCACGCATTTCGTATACATGGACCAAAGCTTCGCTCGCTCCTTGACTGCAGCAATTACCTCGGCGGAAATGCTCGCGAGGAAGCTGGTACCACTCTTGCTTGCTTGGCTGGTCATCATCTCTACGAAGAAGTTTGTGTCTGGAAACTCTGCATCGGCTTGGAGTCCATCGACGTTCTACTGTCCAAGAACCGCGATCGGCCTGTATTCCCGAATCTGAAACATTTCGGGGCATCCATCGAGTTCGATGCGGCGACTCTCCTGTTCAGACATTTGCCTCGGACCCTCTCGAGTCTCTACATCCGTGAGGGATTATCTAAACCTTGGTTTCACCTTGTATCCGGCTTCAAAGGGCTCAAACATCTGACCCTTGAAGGTTGCAACTCGATCCTCAGCATGTCTTCTATCCTGCCTTTGGGCAATTTGCATGATCTCCGTAGCTTAGTGATCGTGTTGAGACATCCGATCCGCGATTATGGCATTCAAATGACGAGATTGCAGGACACGCCATTCACCGATGACGATTTCGCAGCCATGACTTCTGGCATTCCCCTTCTGCAAAGCCTCGAGCTCAAACTACCGTGTGAGCTCTCACTGTCTGCCCTGACATCATTGGCCAGCAACTGCCCCTTTCTCACGAGTTGCCACTTATCTACTAAGATCGATGTACATGGCTGGGGGATGGTAGGAAATCCGATATTTGCAAAGCTCGAAACCCTCAGCTTGAGCCATGGAGAGCATATTAGCCCATGGGGTGATGCGAATGATACGACTAGGGAAAAACTGGAGGCGGGTAATGATGAAAGTGTCAATCCTGACAATGTTGGTATCGTTGTGCGGCAATGTCCAAACCTTTTCAGATTGCACATGCAGTACAGAGATTATGGTCTGTTCGAGCTAGGACACATCAGAGTCAGGGCAAGTCGACACGGATGGAGAGATGTTGTTATGAGCAGTGCTTTCTGAGGTATGAGAATGATAGGTAGACGAGTATGAATCCAGCAGGATTCGTCGCTTTCTCTTGCGCATAACCTCGTACCTTTCAGGAAAACACTCTGGGTGTTGGAGTTTCCGTGATTTCTTCTTGCACGTCAACCAAAGTCTTGGCATTGTCGACCACTAATAACAACAACATTGTCGTTCTTATCCTCATCTTTTTCGTACTTTCACGCTGCTCGCAAAATCACCATTTCCCACTCAATCCTGTTGAGTGTGCCTTTTCTCTTTTTCTTCTTCTCGCCTCGCACTGCACTTTCACAAGCCTTTGCTTAACTTTCAAACTCAACTTCCATCGCACAACATCATCGTGACAAGGGACTGCACTACCTAAACACATCAACACGCGAGTCAACATGTCTGCATCACACCAAACCATGATGGAGGTCCCCAGGGCCATCATCCGTCAACACCTCGCTGAGTGCAGCCACAACAAACAAGACTGTCGCTATCACGACTGGCATGAAGCTTTTGACGCTCTCCAACTCGCCCACCCACTCACCTGCTCCCCCCTTCTCACGCACATCGGGTCCGTCTCCGAGCTCGTGGGCAAGATACTCTGTCACCTCGACGACGAGGACCTTTTCAACTGCTTGCTCGTCAGCAAGGAGTGGAGCAACGAAGCAGTCCGCATCCTCTGGAACGATGTCCCTCTGGCTAAGCTCCTGACCGCCTCTATCAATGACGACCGTCTTCCAGTCTACGCCGCTCTTCTTCGTCACGCTCAGTACACCAGGCGCACCGGCCAGAATCGTATGCCCCTATATTCGCTGGGCTGGACCTCATCTTTCATCAGACCACTACCTGTCCTTCCCAACCTCGTCAGCCTAGAGTGCGGCCCCAACTCATTGATCAACAGAAGAGCCGCCGAACTCTCCGCCATCTTCGTCCCTGGTCTCAAGAACCTAGTCATCTGCGACGATGCTACCCACGATCCCAGACGTGCCCGCCCACTGCAGTCGCCTGCTGCTCACTGGTTTGACATCATGACCCAGAACTGCTCACACCTGACCTCGGTCAGCTTTGGGCTCAACCTGCGCATCAGCACTACAGTCTTTGACCACTTCCTTGGCCGCGCCAACAACCTGGAGTCAGTTGTCCTCGCTGCCGGCTACGAGCACCTGCTCGTCGGCGCTGTTGCTCCCGTTCTGAAGAGCGTTCAAGTTGATGCGACCCTCGACGACCACAACAACCAGACTCTCGACTGGGAGAGACTGGCCTCAATGCACGCTCTTGAAGACCTCGAAATCACGGTCTGTGATGGCGTCTGGCTTGACACCAACGAATTACTGCCCCTCCAGCGTCTCGCCAAGCTGAAGCGCCTCAGCATCTTCCCAGACACCGATGAACCTTTCGCTGTTGGCTGCAGTACCTCTGCCCAGGAGTTGGTCTTGATCGTCCAGGCTATGCCTTTGCTTGAGGAATTGGAGTTCTTGATTGACGTCAGTTTCTTGGTTACTAGTAAGGCACGTTTGAGAGAGGCTTGGGGTGCAACCGAGGGCGTCTGGTTCAGGGGTAGAGAGAACCGTCAGGAGTTCTTGGGCGGCTTGCGCGGTATCGTCGAGGGGGAGAGGGAGGTCCGCGATGGAGTTGGCGCTGCTGACGTCGAAGCTGGTGCTGAGGTGGCACAGTGATGCTTCTTCTAGTGCACTGAGTGCAGGCAGAATCTCACAGCCTTACCGTCTCGACTGGCTTCCATGCCAATGCTTCAACTACATCACTCTTGCAAGCGTCTCGTATTGACGGCATGGCCTGCAAAAACATCACTCTGGCATTCGACAACCGGAAACGGAGGTGGTGTCTGGACATTGTTACTTTGACTCAAGGAACTGGATGACAGAGGGAAAAGTGAATGATGGCCGATGTTATCAGTGTTGATTAAGTGTCTCCTTTTTGCGCTGTGATTTCTTTCTGATTGTCGACATTAAAGGGAATGCTTTGTCATACATGACTAAAACGTATCAAATTTCACGTATTGATGACTGTGCAATTTTGCATGCAACTGGCGAGTCTTTGTATTTGTATACCCTTGATACGTGATGATAAGATAGTCACTCTAACGAATAAACTTGAGCAGATGCCTAACACAGCTCCGGAGTAGGGTCAAAGTTTGACGGTGCTCATAGAAAGAGGTTGAGTCCCAATGACTGAGTCGAAGCGTCCACGCAAGACCTCTTCACGATTCAAGATGATTTGCAAACACCACTCACGCAGCTGTTTGGCAGCTGGCAAGGGCTAGAAGCACTGCAGCTCCAACCAGTACAGCTTTCATGGTCATGTTAGCAACAATAATCCATCAAAAAAGGAGCGGATTTCTCGAGAAACATACCCCCAATTGCAGGCGGCGGGTTTGCAGACACCGTCGGGACTCAGGCAGGTCAATCCAGAGTTACAAGCAGTGGTCGTGCCGCAAGAGGCCCCCTCGCACCCAGCACATGGTACTGGAGTGGAGCTCGCTCTGCAGTAGTTGTTGACACAAACGTTGGGCGATTGGCAAGGGACGGAAGCGCTACAGTCCCAGCCCAGACATCTGTTTTGAACACGTTAGTAGTGCGCTTTGGCGATTGGAGAAGAGCTTTGGGATAATCACCCCCACGAGCATGCTGCGGTAGATGTCGGAGCAGTAGTGGTGGCGCTACTGCTCCTGCAGTACCCGCTGACACAAACATTAGGCGATTGACATGGCACGGTAGCGCTGCAGTCCCAACCGAGACACCTGTATCCAATCAGTCTCGGGTCATCATGACTTCGATCGCATTACACTCACCCCCAATCGCATGTCTTTGCAGGAGAGATCGAGGTCTGTGTCTGTATGCCTCCAGTCTTTGTTGGCCAGACAGCACCGTCGGCAGTCCATTGCGTGTTGACATTACCGGTCAGGACCCATTGGACAGGGTTGATGACGAGATTCTTGTTGCCGTCAGGACTCTTGCCGTAGAGCTCCGACCAGCTGTTAAGCATGATGTCCAAGGACGCCTTGGGCTGTCAAACAGTGAGTTGTTGTTCAGCAACACAGAAAAATCATGGGAAAACGCTCACATGTCCCATGCCAGTCACATAGCGAGGGTCAAAAGCGTCGGCGATGTACATGAGCTTTTGCTTGCCAGTGGCAGGGTCGGTGACCAGGGCCTCGAGACCACAGTACTTCCTTGTCGCCGTTCTCCAACCATTCTGATCGGAATTGTATGTCGCATCATTCGCGCTCATGGCAGTGAAATACTATCAAAAACACTATCTTTAGTCGACCGAAGTAAGCAATGCCTTCGTTTTATTTTGTACACATACCACTGCAATCACGGGGTCGCTGTCCGAGTATTTCTTACCACACCAACCAGTGCCGCTGGTAGAGTCCTGGCTCGACGAGGCGCGATACCAGGAGCCAACACCACTCTGGGTGCCGGGGAAGAATGCGGAGCCATCTGCGGCGGCAGGAACGTTGACGGGATAGATGGCTGCCAACGCAGGTGTGGCGGTCGCAAATGCTGCAGCGAGAATGTGGAAGAAAGTCATCTTGCAAGGGTTTGCCGTGTATTGCAAAGTTGCGACTTGCTGTGGACATACGTGCGACTTCTTAAATGATGAACGGATGCTGAGGGGAGCAGCGGCAAGAAATGCCCCTCGAGGCCACATGAAGGATTTCGATAGTTACAAGCATGAGCTCCACAGTTGCTGCTGCGGATACGAGAGCAGACGGCGAGCCGTACGAAGACGCATTGGGTTCAGATGCACGGGCACATTACATTACACGTATCGTGGCTTATCTATACTATGCAGCAAAACTAGATGCATGAACACAGGTAATTCACCACACGTGTTGAAGTCCCAGATATCGTTAAGCGGTACTGCCCTATAAGCGGAGGGCATATATAGTCGTCCTCTGCCGAGACTTGCGCCCGATAATCCTGGGAAAATCCCAAGTCCGAGCGTTTTTGCCTAGAGAAAAACCAAGTTTTCGATAGCTTCGGAGCGGCACGCTAATAATGGGTGATATGCGACGAGAGTCAAGCATGCAATTTACTGCGGACGTCAAAAAGCAATATATTCTGATAACCACCAAAGATTATGCATACAAACATTCTGTTGCACTCCGCAAACAGCATAGATCCCTGATTTTACACACAGCCATGTATCCAAGTCTCTTTGCAGCTAGGATCTGTTAAAAGATATTGTACGCAGCGTTTCACTAACTGTATCCACGTAATTAACGCTCTAACTGGTGATAAAGTAGTCTTGTATCGTAGAAACTGTAAAGGCTTAAGCTTTAGAGGCTGTGATTCTGGCGTAATAAGGATAAAGGTATATGCACTTTACTCAAGCGGTAGACGTGTCGAGAGTAAGAGGGATGGGAAAATATGGTAGGGACTCGGAAGTGTATCATGGCGGGATGGAGGGAGGCGATAGAAAAGGCTTCCTCGATTTTGAATAGGATTTTGTATATATGTCGTGGGAGAAGTAGGAACTGGATGGGCCACAGAGCTGGAAGGTGTTTTTGCGTTGATGCAAGGATAGATGATGCTTCATGTCTTTTGATAGTTTTGAAAAGTGACTCGAGCACGAACGCCATGTTGGATGTTGAATTAACCACCCTGCTCCTGTCTTGCCAGGCCTATGTCAACCATTTCTTTATGAAAGAACAGAAATCAAAGAGTGTGAATAGATCTAGAGAGCTCACTAATGCAGGCCTCACGTATGATGTTGCTAAGGTCGCTACTCATCGGATGGTGATGCTACAATCTTAGCGACAAGACGTGGTACCAACACGCGATCTTGGGGGCTGGTCAGGCATCTGTACCAGCCCGAGTACTGTCTAATCTTACCCGCATCTCTATACTGCCAACTCATCTCTTCAAAGCAATCGACATCACTTTTCGGAAGCGCAGCACCCCACATGCTTTCAAATTCTGCTCCATAGGTCAGGAATCTAGGCGTGCTAGTACACAATTGGATGCATGAAGCCTGGGAAATGGAAGGCTGATAGGTTTTTCTCGGAGCTTCGTTTGTAATTACATCTGCTCACTAACCATCAGAAAGATAGCAATGGGTGTAGGAAGTGGTTCGAAGGACAGTGGGAGAGAAATGAGAATCACTCACATGATCGCCGATCTGGAAAATGGCGCAAATGCAGCAAGGACGGTGAAAAGATCTGTCAGATAGATCTGGTGCTGTCCAGGCAGAAGAACCTAGAGATACTCCAGGCAGGGTCATCTTGTGAACACGCGTAGTCAGTGGACGGCCTCGTGGCAGATGCTTGAGAAGCAGCTGAGGATGGAGTGAGTCAAGGTCTTGTTGTGGCGAGTTGACGGGCTGACGAACAGTAGAGCGCTAGAAGCGATGCGAGCGAACATTGAGGCAACGAAGCGTCCGTGAGCTGCTGCAGAGCGATTGCGAAGTTCGAGATTGTGCACTCATGGCTGATACTCAGTTGTAAGAGTGGTGATGGGCCTGCTAGAAAACAGTCAGCTCGAGTGGTTAGAGAGCCAAAGTCAAGACAGATCACACGGTTCAGTTCATCTTGTGCTGTTCGCGCTTGAAGAAGGCAACAACTTTGTCGCTGTCGGAACCGAAGAGACGACGGAGAAGTGACTTGTGGTCGCCCTTCTTCTGCTTTTTTCTTCGCCGGCTCCTAATGCTCACTGCTTGATGGCAGCAGAGGCGAGAGAGAAGATCCCATCCGCGTTCGCCATCAGGGCCAGGGTTGTTGACCTCAGTCATGAGTTGCTCGCGGGTGGAACCGTTCGGGTTGACGGCAAGAGTTCTGATGACGACTAGGTAGAAGTTATTGTTGGGTAGGTGCAGACTCCGTATTGAAAGCTCTCCAGATGGAGGAGACGGTGCCTGAATGAGAGGGGTTGCCATAGATGAGCTGGAAAGAGTGATCTCGTTGTGTTGAGCATAGCTTGTGTCGACAGATGTTGAGGCCGGAAGACAGTACTGCAGCGCCAACACAAATGAGACAGAGGGGTGCGAGAAAGTCATTGGAAAGGCGCCAGGGCCAGTTGCAGAGGCAAGTCGAGGCGTAGCTCTCTCCAGTTATGTCGAGGATACCGTGAGGGTGGCGGGCGTGGTGGCTATCGAGAGTTGCGGGAAGACGTTATTGCATGTCAAGCATGGAAGACAACCACGCGTACCTTGGTCGGAAAGTCTGATTTCACGATTTTTTTCGGGGGAAGCTGAAGAGAGAGCTAGTCGTGCTGCCGATGCTCTCGGACAACAAAAATCAAGTGCAGGCCATGGAAAGAAGACCAACACTCCTTGCAAAGCATTGATGAACAAAAACTGACGGTGGCCTACGGACCCTAAAAACTCAATGTCTTCTGGTAACGCAAAAGTCTTCTACGTAGAGCACTCAATATCTCGGTCAAGGATCTGGAGCCAATTCCAAAACCTGCTCCATATCGATCTGGATGACTGTCCGACTCTTGCGAGCGCTTAGTGCTGCCTGTGCTGTGTTCCCGTATAGATTTTATCCACGATTATAATCTGCAATTTATGGTTTCGATTGTTTGACCACCCTGGCTGCTATGGACAAAGTAGAGAGTACTGGGTAAAGACATTGAGAAGCCAGGGATGTTCGAGCAGAATCCGACAACAAAAGAAAACCATTGGCAATGTCTCAATATTCACACCGGGTATCACCACCTTTCTTGAAACCACTCAAAGCGCTTGTTGGGTAGTGAAAGTCATCCCAGGCATAATGACTTTCTCAATCTTCTGGAGAGCAGCCTCGTTAGCGGCCAAACAGGCAACCTTGACCTCGCCCAGGTGTAGTGACAGCTTTCTGAGCCTCGGCAAATTGATCAGGAAACATGCCAGCTGTGATCCTGTGACGGATCTCGAGCGAGGCTCCCTAAACTCCAGCTCGAAGATTTCGAGGTTGTGCAGATTTGAAATTTGCACCAGGCAAGCGCCATCGAACGCCACCTCGCTTGGCATAACCTCGAGTTCAAGTATCTTGAGGTTTTCGAGCATGGCGAGAGTGGCGAAGACCTGGGTGAGACCATCGAAGACGTTGATGAGTCCGAATATCAGGCAGTCCAAATTCGGCATGCGAGACAGTAGGCGGGCCGCTGCAGTGCCGGAACGGATGCACACCTTTGAAAATTCGCGGAAAGAACGCATGGTCCAGTTCTTGCCCATTCTACCAAGGAAGACCGAGATGTCGACCTCGGAGAACTCAGCCCCATGTGGAACGCTCAAAGAGGTGAGGTGTGAATTGATCAACCACATTTCCAGGACGTCGACCACAGGATAGTCGGCGATTAGATCCTCAGCGATGGTGCCCAGCCGCAAGCTTTCGAGAGAGTGTGAACAGAATGTCCCCTGAGTATGGGATGTATCAGCGAGCGCCCGAAACAGTGTTTCAGGAAGAGTGAGAAGTAAAGTTCTACGAGATGTTCCTCTATGCAGCTTGGAAGCAACACACATGAGCGAGAACACAATTTGCTGCACGCGGTATGCACAAGTCACCGCAGATGGTCTCAAGCTGCTGTACGCTCCATCTTCTTGACTTTCTCTTGAAACTCATTATTTCTATTCCAGCACAATGCTCGTCTGTAAAAGTGCGAGAGTATATGACGGTCGATCAGCCAGCGAAGGGTGTTGCATACTGAAGTATGACGAGCATCGGCGGGCTCCGTGCAACATCACTCCAAAGAACCCTACAAAGTCCGGAAACAGCATCGCTTTCTGTCATTAGGAGGATCATCTCCGAACTTCAATGTACTCATGGATAGGAGGGATCCGGCTTACGGTGGGAATTCGAATGGAGGAGTGCAGATCTCCTTGGTAAGTGCGCTATTCACGACGACTATCGGCGGGCTACGCGGTAGAAACTATGTGTGATGAGAGTTTCGAACAAAAGACTATCAGGTATGGATTGACGTCGAGCGCTCGGTAGTAGAGTGGCATTATTCGATACAGAAGGTATTTCAGAGCTGATTTGTGTAGCCTGTGCAGGAATCTGTGGGCAAGGATGGTCGAGTGCTGTGATGGAGAGATTGTCATACTGGCATCAAGCATCACCACAGACAGACTTGAATGATGTATATAATGAAGCGGGAGTCGAAGCGATGGATGCAGTGATCTTTGACTTCTTGGATATCTGTGCGTTGAATGTCATGCAAGTAACAGACTGCGAGAAAAACGCTGAAAAGACAGCCTACTCGATGTCATAATTGAATAGAGATAGTCGGCGACATACTTTGCCGATGTGTGCAAGGCAGTCGAAGTCGAGGTGAAGAGACTGCTGATTATGGACTCCTACGACATCTGTACGTAAGATCAGCTGCATCATGGCAGGCGTAGGTAGGGGAGAAGTGAGCGCTGTGAAAGACCTTGATACTGGAATTCTAAAGTTCGAGTCTTCCCGAGCACAGCGATGTAGGGCTGAGGACTGCCTCGACGCCAACAACATGCTCAAAGCTACAGGGCTGCGAATGTTTGATGAATACAGCATATTGATTGCGGCGGCTTTGCTAGGGGAACGAGCAGAATGCTGTTGAGGCCAGGTAGTTACGCCTCACCTAGGACAAATCGATCAGTCCATGTTTATTGTATATGATGGCTGTGACGACTCACTAGCTATCCCAAGAGACTCTTCGACATGGATGGTCCATCTTGACAAGTGATGAGTGTGATGTAAGTCACGTGTGGTGAAGCCGCACCGGGGGCAAGCCCACTCCTGATCTGAGTTCAGCTGGAGGACACTCGAGTTCTGAATTTCCGGGAGAAAGGTCAGGGGCACAGTTTAGTGCTCTTTCTCACTCGATGAATCAACCTCGCTGGTGGAGGCGTTAGTGCTGTCAGCCCAATCAGTGTGTATCAGCATTGCGACTTGGAAGAACCGCATCAGAATCCTTACTCGTTGGCCTCCTGAGAGGCAGGGGCAGCCTGATTGCCATTGGTGCCGAGGCTTTCAATCGCACGACTCAGCATTGGGGATCTCATGAGGTTCGTCGAGATCACTTGCGAAGACTTTCGAAGTGACCAGAGGCCTATTTGACATTTTCTGGAGCTGCGTCCTTCTTCGGATGCTTCTTTATCGGATCAAACTACCACGTGCGTATAGAAACCACACCATCAGATACGGAGGCTGATAAGAACAACTTGGCGTGGCTCATGTGAAAGACCACCGTGGACGTATCGCATGTCCGAGATGACTACTTCGACCAAATTTTGAGCGAAGGAAGTTTGGCGGTGATATAGATGACTTGAAGATCGTTCGGATATCATCGAGCCTAAGGATCTCTGCCAGAGATATCTCGAGAAGATGGGATACAGAGTTAGTATACACATAAGTCATTGGCAGACAGACTCTGCTGTTGCTCACAGAAGCAGATATGATTCGCCGAGGCGAAGTTGCTGTATATATAGATTTCAATGGCGTTGCGTTATAGATCGTCAAGAGGTAGTGGAGTTTGAGATGATGGTAGATATGAGAAGACGGTATCCCACAGATGGGCAATCCCATGCTGTATATACTTCTCGTCGAACACGCCAGCTGCATAGCGTCTTCGTTCCCATTCCAACAGGGTTGTCTGAGGGGTCTATCTTCTTGCTTGCTGAAGGGCCTCATCTTTTGGTCTTCGTCTCCAAACATCGATCAATCTGGTAGTGTTGGGTCTGCCTTATTATCTGCGAAGACTGCTCAAGAGATCATCTTTGACAAGCTGTGTCGGAAGCAATGCTTGACAAGCTGAAGCTGGAAGCTGAAGGATAAAGTCAGCCGTGGGGCAATCAACAGCTTAGAGCTGGAAGAGAACATCTGAAAATTGGACAAAGCCACCATGCACAAAGATGTTCAAAGCGTCATTGATCTTCCAGGATTCGTCTTTGAGTCGCAAAGCATACCGCAAGCATGCCAGCTCAATCATATCTTTACCAGACAAAATTATTTGCTATCCAAATGGAAACTTGAGAGCGCTGGAAGCATCCTTTGACCGCATGACAAGTCAAGAATACTATCACTCAACTTTCAAAAAGCCATCAAGGAACTCCAGAGTTTGGACACGCAACGGAAAAGGACAAAGCAGATATCCCCGCCATCTTACGAACAGGGGCTGATCATGGAGTCTATTATATTTGGGGCAGCTGCACAGAGCACATGTTCAACTTCGAGTTGGTCTTGCTTTGTGAAAACAATTTCTATCTGCCAGAAAAGAGATCATGCTTGGACGGCCCCTTGAGCTCCGTAGCTTTGGATTTCAAAATGTGCGAACTGGCAAAACTTTACTTGCACAACTCCCGGTCACAAGCGAACTTGCTTCAATTATGTTTTGGAAGATATCATTACATGCTTTGTAGCACAAGACAACCATACCTGTTTCCTCAGACCGGGTAACAAATTCTTGATGTGCTGGATCTTGGGGCAGGGTGCTACTCTAAGCAAAGTGATTTGGAAAATCTGACCGATGGAAATGCTGGTCGCAACACAAAACAGATGCGGTCATCGAGTAGACCCACGATACTGGCAGACCTCTCCTCAAAAGTGGACAAGTCTAGAAAGAAACTCCCATATGTTCCAGAGCCTCTGTCCCAGTCGTTCCGAGTCGCTTGCCGTCACCTCCACAGATCCCCGGAATAAGAGCCCTCGGCCTCGGCCTCGGCCTCGTCAGATGTCGCATGAACTCTATTCATTGATGGCAAACCTTGTCTCCGGTTTTGACTCGATCACATCGAGTAACATGCCCGGCGCACCTATATCGCTCTATAATCCGACAAAAGATAGACAGATACACCAACCAGTCAAATTGCTTGTGTATCTCAAGCCAAGTGATGTTGAGAAGACAATCTATTAGCTTGCCGGCGTTTATTCACCAGCTTGCGTAATTTGACACATTCCATGGAGCTGCATACGACACTTTTCCTATTTTCTTCTTTAGGGATTCAGCTTCGACTTCGAGATGAATTGCTGCAGGTCTTGCTGGAATTTTACATGACCTGCATCATATTTTCGCCTTCTAGAGCGACCAGGCAGAAAAATCAGCGGAAAACATCCTTATCTAAGGTTTGCTGATCATCCTGCAAGCCACATCCCCATCCTTTTGCTGCGCATGGACCCTGTCAAGGATACGTCGTATCTCCACAAAGTCTCATGGCAAAAATGATATGCATATAACCATGAGTGCTCGCCGCTCTTTTCCGTCTCTGACACACAACAATCATGCCATCATTATTGCGAAAGATCGTCAGTACTCAAACCCCATGCTTGACTCCAAGTACGAACCATTGACTCTTGTACAGGAGGTCGAGCATGACAATGGTCTGTCGAACAAAGAGTTGTTTCTCACCAATCATGATCTGAAGATTGTCGAGCCTGAGCGGCGTCAGTGGAGAGCATTCAACTTTGTCGGCTTCTGGATTGCCGACTCATTCAACATCAATACGTGGATGATCGCTGCTTCTTCGCTTGATGTCGGCTTGGCTTGGTGGCAGGCCTGGGTTTGTGTCTGGTAAGTCGAACATCTTACGTGTGAGATGATCATCTTGCTGACGAAGGCTTGCAGGGTCGGCTATAGCATCTCGGCATTCTTCATCTGCCTGACTGGTCGCGTTGGTGCTGTCTACCATATCTCTTTCCCTGTCATGAACAGGGCGTCCTTCGGCATCTTTGGTTCGCTGTGGCCAGTGCTCAATCGTGCTTTGATGGCATGGTGAGTTCCACAATCGCTTGTGTTCGAGTATATGCTCTGACAGACCATCAGTATCTGGTATGGTGTACAAGGCTGGATTGGCGGAGAGTGTGTCTACCTCATGATCCTCGCCATCTGGCCTTCATTCGGCACACGACCTTCCTTGACCAAGGAGATCGCCCTGGGCGGCACCGTCAACTATCTCATTGGCTTCATCCTCTTCTGGGCTGGCTCCCTTCCCTTCATCTGGTTCCCCGTCCACAAAGTTCGCCACTTGTTTACCGTCAAAGCTGTCGTCGCACCCACAGCCGGGATCGCCTTCCTCATCTGGGCACTTGTCAGAGCAGGCGGCGCAGGCAGGATCATCCATCAACCTGCCAAAGCACATGGCTCTGAACTTGCTTGGGCTGTGATCACTGGCATCATGTCTTCTGTGTCCAACTTTGCGACTCTCATTGTCAACGACCCTGATTTCTCACGTTTCGCCAGCAAGCCCAGTGATGCCTTGTTACCTCAATTCATCACCATTCCTCTGGGTTTCGGACTGACTTCTCTCATCGGCATTCTCGTTGGCTCGGCCTCTGCAGTCATTTACCCTGAGCTCGGCGCCGTGTGGAACCCGCTCGAGCTCCTCAAAGCATTTATCACCGAAGACGGACACGGCAGCGCAGGCGCAAGAGCAGGAGTCTTTCTCATCGCAGCCGCCTTTGTGGTCGCTCAACTCGGCACAAACATTGCCGCCAACTCCATTTCTGCTGGTACAGATCTGACTGCATTGCTGCCTCGCTACATCAACATTCGCAGAGGTGGATACATCTGCGCTGTCATTGGTATCGTCATCTGTCCATGGCAGTTTGTCGCTGGATCCAGCAAATTCACCACATATCTCTCTGCATATTCGGTGTTCCTGTCTGCCATCGCCGGACCCATGATTATCGATTACTACGCGGTCAGAAAGGGATACCTCCAAGCTCGCGACTTGTACTCGGCAGATGTCAACGGACCTTACTACGGCAAGTTCGGTATCCAGTGGCGTGGCTATGTTGCCTATATCTGCGGTATCCTCATCAATGTTGTCGGTTTTGCTGGCGCTTGTGGGGCTTCTGTGCCTATCGGTGCGACATACATTTACCGGCTCAACTTCTTTACTGGGTTCCTTGTTAGTGGAGGTGTCTACTATATCTTGTGCTTGATCTCACCAGTCAAAGCACCTAACCCTGTCGACGGATGGTTGGAAGCACCAGAACCCGATGAGGAGGATTTGAGTAATGTTGTCAGTCATGGCAAGGAGGTGGATATGTACTCAAGTGGTATGGATGCTGAGCAGTCAAGCGGTTTCTTCAGGAAGAAGATGGATGCTGTTACGAAGGCGTTGTAGATAAAAGTGGAGGATGACGAGTCATGTGTTTATGGAAAGTATCTGTTTCTGCTCTGTTTCTCTTTTCCTGGAAAACCTGTCTCGCTCTGCTCCATGTCCTGCTTTTGGACGTTTCTTGCCGGAGGAGATGCAGATGGGTGAGGTTGTCCAGAGTGTAAAGAGCCTCGATGTCGGTATGGCCAAGGTCGATGCCGTCTCGGTAGTGGATACTCAACTTCGTCAGGGTGGTCAGATGGAATAGAATGGGGAAGATGTTGGCGCGGCCGTCCAAGGAGAGCGTAAGGGTCTCGAGTTGTGTCAGGTTTGGCAGAAGTCTGATCAACTCGCTGGCGCTGGCTAATACGGCCAAACATAGGTCGGTGAGGTTGTGGAACGTGGGATTGCCGTCCTGCTCCAGAGTATTGTTGACCATCAAGGGACTGATACAAGACATCAGATGGAGAGAGGTTAGGTAAGGATGGGCCATGATTGCCGCAAAAGTGCTTGTAGTAATCAAAGGACGGTGATAACTGGAAACGAAATCAAGTCTGAAAGACTCCAGCTGCTTGCAGCTTCTGAGCATCGTGGTCAAGTCGTGAACATTTTGACCCATGATTGTGGCGTCGCATCTGAATTTGCGAAGTTTGGGGACGTTATGAGCTAGGTGTGAGAAGATGCTGTACGTCGCGAAGGTCTCATCCGCATCATCGGTGCGCTCCAGATCGATTGTCTCCAGATTTGACGTCATAAATCGTGCAAGGTCCAGATGGCAGCCGTCCCAAAGCGACGGTGGCACCAGAGAGAAGTGTGGACCATCGTAGGTGACGGAGAGATGCTTGACTCGAGGGAAGTTTGTGCCATCCAAAGGGGGCGGGACGCTGAGAGGGCCGACGTCAAACTTGAGCTCGCGGATGAGACTTGCATACTGCTGTCCGCGATCACTGTGGGTGCCTGGCAACCTGTTGATCATGTTCAATGTGGCGATCTTCCAAACCATCTTGACCGCGAGCTTGAACATGGCTTTGTCGACGCGCATGAGGGACAAGAGGGTAGGCCTGTCGTCCTCGAGGTTCTCCGAGATCACGTCGATGATCTCTCGTGGCAGGGTGACACTGCGTGGGCCAGGCGTGGCAGTTCTGGGCTGGACTATCGCTGATGTCGTGGCGACGAGGTTGCTGAGCTCCGCCATGTTCTGAAAAATCTGGAAGCGCGTCGCCTGTACAGATCGAATTGCTGTTGTCGGGTTGGAGGGTACTTGGTTAGAGGACGATAAGCAGGTGTGCGCGCGTTGAGAGCCAAACAGTGAACGGAGAAGTCGTCGAGTCGAATTCCAGTATCTGCGGGATGAGGTCGTTGCTGCGGCCGCGAACACAACAACACCGTCTCTCCGCACCAATGGAAGCTGCGTGGAGCTCTGAAACTTCGCAGCACCGTCTTCTGAGTACTTTCGGGTTTCTTGTGGAGGAGATGTCTTGTTCAACAAAGCCCAAAGCAAACCACGCAACCGCCGTCTCTTTCACTCCTGCCTCACACCTGTGTCTGGCAATCAGCACAGGACTATGCAATAGAGTAGAGCATCGAACAAAAAAGTTGCAGCACTTGAGTCCTTTTTGCATATCAGTCATCTCAGTAGCGTGCACAAACGAGGTCGAGCTCTCGATGTGACCTGATGCAACCAGAGACGAAGAGAGCCTGGCTAGAGATGAATATCGATGAGCAAAGACGTAAATTACCGACTCGTTCCGTAGGTGACGAAGAAGCTTGACGAAGTGGGTCGGCCTTGCAGGCCGTAGAGTCGAGTGGGACCAGAAGAAGAACGAAAAGGCATCCTCTCCATCATCAACCATATCTAGAGGAGACTAAAGGAGCCCAGAGAAGGGCGATGGCGATAGAGCCTCGTTGGTCTCGGCAAGAAACCTAGGAGCAGGGTGGTATGGTTCGCGAGCTATTCAAAACTTGTCGGACCGAGACAGCAACAAAGTTATATCCTTTGTGATAGCCGCTCGTAACTGCATCTCATTGTTCGACCATAAGCCACCGAAAGGGGCTGTACTCAATGCGATGGAGTCGATGTGAACGTTCTTGTGGTCACCCCGGGCATTCATCAAGCCAAAAGTCTCGCTATGGACTCGGTCAATCATGATGATGCAATAGGATACTTCTCCTGCTGACGTTCGAGACCTCGCTGTCAAGAGCTCACATGGTGATTACTGTATCGTACTACAGTAGAAGAGGTATGTTTGGAGCCAAAAGGACCGAGGTTTCGAGGAGAAGGGGCGAGTCGAAGCTTCAGCCCATCAAGGTCGACCTGTGATGGTTGTCGAGGCAACGTCGGTCCCGCAAGTCCTGGCCGTGCCTTCCTCTTCGAACATTGCGTGAGCCGGCGACCGACTCTTTGGATCAACGCCAGCCATTCCATCGCAGCTCCCGAAGAGATTGCACCGATGCCATCGAGGAAGGTGTTCAAATGCATCAGTCTAAAACGGAAGATGCGACAAGATCGTCCATCGCGTTACGACCTTGCTCTGTCGCAACCCCGCAGCAATAAGAGAAGGACGGGCCGGGTTCCGCCAGCCAAGACGGATTGAAGCCGCATCCATCGCTCCTTCCACCGGAGTCTGACCTGACGCTCGGCTTGCCAACCGTCACTTCGTACAATATTATCACGATAACAATGATGCTTCCCCTCCCCGCTGCTGCAGAATATTGCCGGAGGAGCCGCAAATACTCAAAAGCAGCTCGTCACCCTTGTCGCAGCCAAGCAGCATTCCACCCAGTATCATCATATCCACCATGAGCAGCCAGAAAGTCAACGTTGCCGAATACCTCTTCACCAGACTCCATCAGCTTGGTGTCAAGGACCTTCATGGAGTACCCGGAGACTTCAACCTTGTCGCTCTCGACTACGTCGAGCCCTGCGGTATCAACTGGGTTGGCAATTGCAACGAGTTGAATGCAGGTGCGATACCTCGGTCTTCTTGGAGTCGGGAGCTTTGTTGACATGCGTCCANNGGCTATGCGGCTGATGCTTACGGCAGACTCATGGGGATGGGAGCCTTAGTCACTACTTTTGGTGTTGGCGAGCTGTCATGTCTGAACGCCATCGCGGGTTCTTTTGCCGAGTTCTGTCCCGTCGTGCATATTGTTGGAACGCCGAAGAGGGTCGCTCAGAGGAGTGGGATGCTCCTCCATCACACTGTATGTCTTGTACCCTTGCCAAATCGCACGGACAGTCTTCTGATCTGCATCCCAGNNCTCGGTAACGGCGACTTCAACGTCTTTGCCGACATGTCGAAACCGATCACGATCGCCCAAACCAATCTGATGGACCCAGCGAGGGCTCCAGCAGAGATCGATCGCGTACTCCAAGCGTGCTACGTCAACAGTCGACCAGTGTATATTCAGCTGCCGGCCGATATGGTTTTGGAAGAGGTGGATGCAAAGCTATTGGAAACTCCAATCATAGTTGAACCTCCACCGAGCGATCACGAGACGGAGAAATTGGCGGTAGAACTCATTCTGAGGAAGCTGTACGCTGCAAAGAGACCAACACTTCTGCTCGACGCTGGTGCGCAACGCCATCGGGTAGAGGAGTTGACAGAGCAGTTTGCCCGCAAGACTGGGCTGCCGACTTTCATCACTCCCATGGGCAAAGGCGTGGCCAACGAGGAGTCGCCATTGTTCGCTGGTATCTACATTGGCAAGGGCTCCGAGGAGAACGTCCGGACGAGGATTGAAGAAAGTGATCTGGTCATCACCATTGGCAACGTCAAGTCGGACGTCAACAGCTTCGGCTTCTCGTATCGCATCAGCCGCCTTTCCTCTGTTGACCTGCATTTTGACCACGTCGTCATGGACTGTGCCAAATTCGAGAATGTGTACATGAAGTGGTTGCTGGAACGCCTTGTCAAAGAAGTGGATCCCTCAAAGATGCACATGGACAAACTCGAAACGCCTCTTCGCAAGAGCCCTCAGCTCCCCAACGGTGAGTCGGCGAAGACTCAGGACGTCACACATGATTGGCTGTGGCCGCGCATTTCATCCTGGTTGAGACCCGGAGACGTCGTCGTCACAGAGACGGGCACATCGTTTGTTGGCATCTGGGAAACCAGGTTTCCATCAGGAGTACAAGCCATCAATCAGACGCTGTGGTCATCGATAGGTTATGGTCTCGGAGCAGCTCAGGGCGCAGCTTTGGCCATGAAGACGTCGGGCGGAGGTCGAAGAACTGTCTGCTTTGAGGGCGACGGTAAGCAGCCTGCGGATCAATCACTCATGTGCGTTAGTAGCTGACATCGCATAGGATCGTTCCAACTTACAGCACAAGAGCTTTCAACTATCATCAGGCAAGATCTGGACTGCACCATCTTCCTGATTGAGAACGATGGCTACGAGATCGAGCGTTGGGTGCATGGCATGAAGGCCAAGTACAACGACATCAGCAAATGGCGATACAGCAAGATTGCAGAGGTCTTCACACCGGAGGAAGAGGCTTCACAGCATCGAGTCAAGTCTTACAAAGTCAGCACTCGCTCAGAACTCGAGAGTCTTCTAGCAGATGAAGACTTCTCGGCAGGGAAAGGTTTACATGTGAGTATCCGAGCGCCATGAGGCTTGCATCGGCATGGAACTAACAATTTGACAGNNTTCGTCGAGCTGCACATGCCGAAATACAACGCACCACAAACATTGATCGACTTTGCCCAAAGTCTGTCGAAGAAGTCGGAGTAAGCACGGATACTGATGCTTCCGAAAAAGGAGGAAGCTCCGATGCGTCCGGATGACTCCTGCAAAACACGCATGTTCGCTTCTTTAGGGTGCAGAGTTCATACCAGAGGATTCTCCGCAGCCCCACGTTGATCATCGCGATCTCCTCGGCTCATGCACGTTCGCTTCCAACTTCTATACTTTGAATCTTGTACTTCGTCAATCCTTCACTCAAGCAGATGACAAGATAACCACCAATAACATCAATAACAAAGGAAAAGATGGTATAGCCCAAGTCTCTTGGCGTCGCGAGTCAAGCGTTTGATTTCGCGAGTTACTTGCACGTGTCATCACGAACCTCTATTATGTCATGCCGGCCGTTAAACCACAGAACTCTATACACAAGCAAAGATGCGCCTACCGAGGCCCGTCAGGTACAAAACGACTTTTTTTCACTTTCACCTCCGTGGACATACGAGAAGATCTACAAGACTCCACGTCTCCTACGGGCGTATTCAGTATATAGTGTCGACTGTCTCGGCAAACAGTGCCTTGCACGCGATCAGATGCTGGCTCTTGCAGCATTCTTTTCACAGTTCAGGGCTCTTGTGGGGATGCCACCGCTGAACGGTTCATGGACGACCCGACAAAAACTCTTCCCTTTCGGGCGGCCTTGGGCGACTGTCTGATATAAGACATGGCAGAAGCCCCACCTTCATCTTTCCAATCGTTCCGACACCACCCAGCTTGCTTCTTACTTTCGACGCTCACGATGCTGTCGTCCCTCCGAGACATGCTTCCCACTCTCGCTCTCGGGGCTCTGCTCTTGCCCACCACCCTGGCTGCTATCCTCCCCCAATACGATCCCTTCTACAATGCTCCTGCTGGATACCGGAATCAGGCTCCTGGAAGCATTCTTCGTACCCGACGAGTCGTCACGTCCTACATTGGTCTCATTCCCGATGGTGTGCAAGCATGGCAATTGCTGTACCGCACCACTGCTATTAACGGCACCGCCATCGCCTCTGCAACCACCGTCTTCAAGCCTCTCAACGCGAAGCTTGACAGCTTCGTCAGCTTCCATACCGCGTACGACGGTTCTTCTGTGACCGGTGCCTGTGACCCAAGCTTCAACTATCAGTTGCTCGCTCCACAGATCGACCTGATATCCTCAGTCGAGTTCTTCCTGCTCCAGGCCTACCTCTTGGATGGTCATATCGTTCAATCGCCTGATTATGAGGGTCCCGATGCCGCTTTCGGTGCTGGTCGCCTTGCTGGCATGGGAGTCCTCGACAGCATGCGTGCTGTCGCAAACTTCAAGTCTACTCTTGGCTTCACCACTTCTACTCCGAAGATTGTTGGTTACGGTTACTCTGGCGGTGCTATTGCCACTGGATGGGCTGCTTCTCTGATCTCAAATTACGCTCCCGAGCTCAACGTCCTTGGCTGGGCTCAAGGTGGTACCCCTGCCAACTTGACCGGTACTGCTGTCTTCATCGATGGAACACTCTTCGCTGGCTTCCTCCCTCAAGCTCTTGTCGGTCTTTCCGCAGATTCAGCATACGGTGCTCAACTCGATCCCGTATACGACCGCATCATCACACCCGATGGTCGCAATATCCTCAACGTCGCCGAACAGATCTGTGGTGTCGAGAACCTGTTTACCTTTGCCTTCCAATCGGTCCAAAGTACCAATGTCCAGACTCTTGGCGACAAAGTCTTCTACGAACCAACCATCGCTGGAGTCCTTGAGAAGAATGTCATGGGTGTCAACTCGGATGAGACCCCCAAGGCTCCTGTCTACATGTATCACGCTACCAACGACGAAGTAATTCCCTATGCCAATGCGACAACACTGTACTCTGACTGGTGTGCTGATGGTGCTTCCGTTCATTTGACCACCATTGCGAATGGCGGACATGCGACTACTGAAATCATTGGTTTCGTAGGCGCATTCAACTTCGTCAAAGCCGCCTTCGCCGGTACCGTCGCCAGTGGATGCTCGACCTCGACGGAGTTGGCTGATACTTTGGATCCCCTGGCACTCGGTGTCTCTCTTGAACCTGTGATTGTGCAATTGCTGAACGCATTGGCAGTGGCTGGAAGAAAGGATATCAACATTAAGAACAACATCCAGACCCTGAATGAGACTGTTGGTGCTTGATGTAGTCGCTCCAATAGAGTCGGATCATTTGACATGATACTAAAATTGACGCAATAATATCCGTGCTAATTCCTGTGTTCCACAATTCGTCTCAATTCCGCGTTCGTGAGTTCATCAGCCCCGAATCTCGTCTTGTGTCTTGTGTTGCTCACAAGACTGGAGCCTGGACTTTCTGTGTTGTCAAGGTGAGATTGACACGCGATACCAGACCAATTCAGTCATTGATCCCAACAACGTCGCGAAAGCGATCCAAAGCAAGCCGAATGTGTCCACCCCTCGAGAAAGTCACCTGCTTTGTACCGCGACACAGCTGCCTCACCTTCGTCAACGTTTAAACCATGTTCATGCTTCCATGATTACCATCATCGAGATCCGTACGTCCAAGAAAGCACTCAAAAGGGCAAGCCATGGCCGGGAATAGGACCTGTGGAAGACCACAAGGGTCCGGGTACTTTGTGGCCCCAGAAGGTTTTGCAGATTCGATAGGAGCCGCGGCTTATCTATGAGCTTGAATGCATCCGACGCGATTAGGTCTGGGGGTCCTTCCGAAAAGCATACAACGCATTGCTGCAGAAGGTCCGAGCATCGCATTGGCACGTAGGGTCTGTCGGGAGTTGTCAACGTCTTGTAAGTCCTAAACAGTCTGGGCATCTCGCAAGCTCTCACTAGCGTGAGCATCACGTTATAGGGCAGAGCTCGGTTCCTCGATACATCCGATGAATCCCCTTTGAACCAAGCCGCCTTCTATAAGTCATCTCCAAGCGCCTCGCTCTCAGTACCTCCGACTTTTCTGACACACGCCAGACTGATAAACTATACAGTACATGACCCCTTGAAATGTTCGCCATATCCAAGCGTATGTACGACACCATCCATGACAGAAGCCCGAAGCTCAACATATAGCAGTTCGTGTCACTCCCAGACGACTGTCTCCTCGCTTCGCTCTTGCCACATCAACTCCGCTCTTGCAAAGGGCATCATTAAGCACCCGACAGCAAAGGTCCGCCACTCCAAACTCTTCAATCGCCAGGAGCCCTTCCAAAGAGGCACCACTTCCAAGTCAGCAAAGCAAAGTTGGCATTGTTGAACATGCGCTGTGAGCAAGACCTCTTCCAGAAAAGTCCGCCCAATCACTGACACTAACTTACAGCACAACTCTCGACCAGGTCGTCAACTGGGCACGACAAGGCTCCCTCTGGCCTCTCAGTTTCGGACTTGCTTGTTGCGCAGTCGAGATGATGCACGCCTCAATGCCTCGCTACGATCAAGACCGCCTGGGCATCATCTTCCGCGCCTCACCACGCCAGGCAGACGTGATGATAGTCGCCGGCACAGTGACAAACAAAATGGCTCCTGCTCTACGTCAAGTATACGATCAAATGCCCAACCCAAAGTGGGTCATCTCGATGGGCAGCTGTGCCAATGGAGGCGGCTATTACCACTATAGTTATAGCGTCGTTCGTGGCGTGGATCGCATTGTTCCTGTGGACATCTATGTTCCGGGGTGTCCGCCCACGGCAGAAGCTTTGTTATATGGTGTCTTTCAATTGCAGAAGAAGATGAGGCATACCAAGACTACGCGGATGTGGTATAGGAAGTAAGATATCTTGATGTAAAGGCGAGGAGGAAAGCTGCCACTTGCTCTCACAAATTCGATGTGCCTATTGCTCCTGATATGGTATGACGATGTCTGAAAATGATGCGGGTTCAGATCAATTGGCAGATGAGATGGAGGAGCCGTCGTCTCGCTCGCATACTAGCCGGTCCGAAGCACGAAATTCCGAAATTCCGAAATCGCGTCTTGAATCCAGCCCTGCTCAACCTCCGAATTTCCTAAAAGCCGTATGTTTCGATGCGTCATCGGGCAGTGTTGCTCCTCTGCTAAGACAGTGACCGGATGGGCTAAGTGCCGTTCCTTGCTTGTTCGATATGAGCTTACGGTACAGATAGAAGCATCACGACTACAACTAATCCATTCGATAGAGCAAGGATGTGATTCGTTGCCAACGATTGCTACTGTAGCTGGTGTTATCTCCAACCGTCCACGCCTGCGCGTCAGCATCCAGCATGACCTGACCATAAGATCGAGGACGCCATGCGGCTCAACCATCGAAATTGCTTTCCGATAGCACGAATAGCAAAACCTATCTTAAGTCCGTGTAACATATCTCGAGGAGTCGTTGATTGTCCGTGAACCTTCAAGGTCGACCACACGTCCGATATTTGATACAGGGTGGGTCCCTCAGCAACACTTGATCAACATGGTCTGTGCAGAAGCTCTGCGACTTTCGAAACTCGAACGGGATTACATCTTTCCACCTGTTCTCGCTGCCTCACAGTAAAGTCGGTCGCATACTCATATTTGCCCCTGTCGCGCAGCGCACAAAGCCATCTACATAGCCGCAATGGCCAGTAATAGCAATGGGCACTCCTGGAAATGCGCTGTGGATGCTCTTCGCCAATACTACGCCTTCCTTGCGAACGATTTGGGAGCCATCCCATCCACCTGTATCGTCGAGCCTCCGGTTGAAGGCTGGCCCACCATCACTCAGACTTCACTTGCCGGGCTTGAGAAAACCGACACGGTGATTGAATTTCTCCGCCATCTACCGTATATCGAATCCTCAGGAGAATACAACACACAGATTGGTTTCAGTACATGTGCGGTAGATTATAGGGCGTATGGGAAGTATATGGTCGCCAAAGGAGAAAGATCACGCTTTTACCCTGTTGGCAGTGAGGACTTCCCGCCCAATGTAGTGGTGTTGACTGAAGAGGGCGAGGACTATTATGGTAGTTTGTTGCTTGTGGATGTTGAGAAAGGTTGTGATTATATATCCGCCCAGCACAGCTTATCTGACTCTGACCTCGTAGGCACGGCTACCGACTATCAACCTCGAGGGGCTCGAAAGGCAGGCGTGCCCGACCCATCAACCACACCACAGATCTGGCGTTACTCGGAAACAAAACCCATCGCCGAGCTATTGGCTTCGTGGGAGCAGAAGTTTCGGTCGCTCGAGTGGACAGTCAACCCTTTCAATGATGAAGGTGGTATGATGCTTCGGCATGATCGTGCAACAGATGTGTGTTTCCCAAACCTACGTTATGTCGTCGTGTGCTGATACATGCGCAGGNAAGTCCGTCAGGTCTATCGTGATCATGGCTGGCCTGATGACTTTCGTCGCAAGGAGTGTCGTGATGCCTTGCGAGGATGGAACAGGACTATCAATGACCGACTTTCACAACCTGGGAATAATCTGCTAGAGATCACTCGCCAGCCTCCTGGTTTGCGTAAGTAGGGTGGTCCCAGTGGCGGAGGTGCTTACGTAGAAAAAGTGAAGAGCTAGATCATCTCGAGGTCGCTGTTCCTAGGAAACGTTCTAATCCAAAGCCAGATTCTTTTGCGAGCTTCTAGTTAGGAAGTCTGCTGGCTGATCACGGAGCAAGTGCTTGAGAGAAGGATGGCATTATCAAAGCCTGCGGAGAAACTTTGGAGGGTAGTATGACCAGGTCACGAAACTTGGTCTGGAGGGGCATCGGGAGGAGGCAGATCAAAACTGGAGCAAAGAGTCCAGCATAACAGCATAATCTACCACTGACTACGCGGCATCATCGTGGTTTAGCCAAGATAGACGAGGAATATCCAGGCTGGTCAGTCGTATCGAGAGAGTACAGAAGATGGGAGCCAAGATCATACTGAGGGCCTTTAACGGCGTCGCACTACGGATCCTCGAAGCCGAGGCGAGCCTTGAGCCGGTCAGAGAGAGGCTTACGAGAAAGGTGGCAGTGCACTTAGCTAGTCTCACATCGCTGCAAGAGAGCAACCTGCTCAGACAGGGCATGCAGGACATGCAACGAAGGGCCACAACACAAACATCACCATTACAGGAGACATGGCATACTTACAAAAGACAGTACAGCCCGAGGGGAGGCCCGGCACTAATCCCTCTCCGGACCTGGATCGTCCCACCATGGAAAGACTGGGCCGACCAATGCCTGGCGGTAGAGCAAAGTCGAGTGAGGGAGTTCCTAGATCGAGAGCAGAGATGTGGTACCGCTATGGCCCATCCACTAGCTGTCTAGTTCTTGGGTCTTCCCAGGAGTTCCACCCCTGAGTATTTAAAATAGGTCTCTCCACCTGCGTCATACTGCCTCAATGGCCTAGCCCCTACGTTCGCCTGTAAGATGCTTATCTGGTGCCCTACCATTCGACGGGAGACTAAATGGTCTCCTCTCTCGCGCTAGGCGTCTGCTGCCTTGTCTCTTTGTGCCTCGGGTTGGCTACGCATCTCCTGTCCATGATGGAATGTGGTCCGCTGCACGCCGGGCACTTAGGGTTGTTCTTGTTCATGCAGTCCCTGCTCTGGTGGTTGCCCGAGCAGTGGCCACATCTAGCCGGTTTGGTGCACTTGAACTGATAGTGACCATAGCTGTTGCAGTTGAAGCATGGGTCGTTGTTCTCCTTTGCCTGGTAGGGAGCTGCAAATCCCGCTGTAGGCCCAAAGATGACAGTCATCTTCTTTAACAGGTATGCGGCTGCTTCTCTCTTCTTAAGCCATACAATCATCGAGCCGTTGACCTTGTCGGATGGCCTGCTGATCCAGACGGCCTTCATGGCTGTGCAGTCGATGTTGTCTTTACTGTTGTCTGCTGCGAAGTTTATAACGACTTCTGGCTTTAGGTTCTTCGGTCCTCCGGAAGGGTCTAGCACGACACTCTTCGAGATGCCATCAACCTTGATAGGAAACCAGGCTTCCCCGCGGATGCGGGCTCCTGGCATGGCTTTTTCAATCCATCTAGGGTTATCGCGAGTGCGCTGAGCTTGCTCGACTGTTGCCAGGCAGAGTTCTACCTTGTTGGTGTAGATCTCGCGGAGGAACTCTACCTCGACGTCCTCGGTGTTCGGATTCTCCTGGAGGGCCTTGATCCATTTATCCTTTACCTTGTTTAGGTCGTCCTTATCTCCTCGAGCCCTAGAGATGTCTATTTCCATAGTTTTCCCTTCATTAGCTAGGGGCTGGGCGTTGTGGCTCGCCTCCGAGTCCGATAACAGCTCTGTCCTCGCCGAGTGTTGAGGGCTTGGCCCCTTCTGACTTGCGACCTGAGACCACGTCTGGCGCGGCTGGGGCGATGCTGGATTGGTGGTCACAGTAGTAGGGCTGCCTGATCCGGCGATGGACATCTGAGTTAGCTGTTCCTCCATCCTCTGCATAGCCTCTCTTATTTCTTTGATCTTGCTCTCCTCCAACTGCTTCTGGAGCTCTTGGACTTGTTTTGAGAATTTCTGGTGTTCATTCTGATGTTTTTCGGTGATTTTCTTGATTTCATCTTGGTGTCTTTTGTTGATTTTCTCGGTTTCTTCATGGTGTTTTTTGTTGGCTTTGTCGGTTTCTTCGTGGTGTTTTTCGTTGATTTTCTGGGTGATGTCTCTGATCTGGTTGATGTGTGCGTCCTGGATTTCCTGGATTGCGACGTTGTATTTGGCGTCCTGCTCGGCCTGGGCCTTGTGAAACTCCTCCACAACTGCTCGCAGTAGCTCTGCGTTGCTAATCCTGCCCGCGCTGTTAAACACAAGTGGTTCCCGGACTCGGATTTCGTCCGCCTCTGTTTCCTCCCTCAACCTCTTTGACCCTCTTCGTACTGCACTCGTCTTTTTGGCCATACCTGCGCCCGTTGGGGTGCCAAGGCCGAAGCTGAAAGCTTCCCCCGCATCCCCATAGCTGGCGTCGCTGTCCATCGCAGTCGCGATCGTTGCGACGACGTCTCCTCGTGTAGTTCTTCGATTCGGCTGCTTCAAATTTGTATATCCTCACAATAACCTGTGAGATGTCGTTTTTGCATCCTAACATTAGAAGTTCCAAAAATCGAGTCGATTTCTCTGTATTTTGGCAAGAGATTAGGGTTTAGGGTTTCGTACTTGAGTTGATTTTTTGCTTTGCTCAAGTCGATTTTTTTGCCTTAAACCACTCATAATGGGCTTAAAAATTTATATCATACTAGGACTAGTGTACTCTATCTGCACACCTAGTCTTGTCTACATACATGTAATGGTAATGCTATCATCAAATAGTTGTTCGTACGCTAAACGCTTTTTTAAGATGCTATATATAAGGATTTACCCCACAGGTACCCCACAATCGCCATATGTAGTCCTAGGCACGGACGGCTATCTATAGCTATCGATCTCGGACCGCTTATGCATAAATACATACTAATGGGTAAGCGTAAGGTGCATGATAAGAGTTAGTCCAATTCCTATAGCAACAACAAAACCCTGGTTATATCAACTCTATGCAAGCTATAAACATAGCTATGTTTATTCACTAATTAGTAGCAACCCATTGTCTTTCTAACTATCATGGACGAATTTTCCCATCTTTTCGACCTTAATCATAAGCATCGAATTCTTATATGCTTAACCTGCCAATACGCTATAGTGCCTTCCCAAGCTAGAACGCATCTATAGATCTACCATAAGCGCGTTAGCCTCTAGCAGCGGAACGAGATCTTATCTAAAGTCGAGGCCGCATCCGAGCTTGCTAGGATTCATTAAGATGTTATCTACCCAGCTGCGACTAATCCCCCTCTAGCTAGCCTCCTAACATACTTCGATGGTCTAAAATGTCATGGCACCGAGACTCCGGGTCTAGCTTGCTCCTACATATGTCGCACAGTATACGGGATGCGTAAGCACTATAGGCAGAAGCATGGTTAGATTAATGAACAAAAGCGTGGAGGCGATTCTCGGAAAAAACAGACGTATACACAAAACAGGATTTGGACCGAGAACCATGCATGTCAACGATTCTTTAAAGCCTCTACCTAGCAGAAATACTTCGAAGTTGCCCGTCAAGACGTAGAGGATGGTAAACAGCAACGAACAGCCCGAACAAATAGTTTCTTCCGCTTATAAGAAGACGACATCCGACAGGCAGAGCGCGATGCCACTAAAGATGCTAATCGAGTATAGGGGTTTAAAGACCATGTCTCTGCTATGGTTCCTTAGTTAAGAGAGACAGGCATTGCTAAACATATACAAAATCTCTAGAAGGACGAAATTCGAACAGCGATCGCCGTTCCCCTACTAGGGGATGAGAGCAACCTTCGTACGATTATCGATGCTATGCAATCACTTCTGTAAGAGGCTTATCGGTTATGCTTCGACGGACCTAAATGTATGTTAACCTACTAATGTCGAGTCGTCCTTAGTCGCTTCTAATCATCCTAAGTCGATCTATAAGGCAAGACTAGACTATTCGATCCATATAAAGGGTCTAAGAGCCTTAAGACATACTTTAGGACAGCGTATCGATTCGTGTCGTACTTTAGTAAAGTTGCCGCTCCTAACGAGTACTACTTTAGTGTAGAAACCGAAGATAGCGATAACATGTAAAGACCTAAAGACATTATTAAGGCTATAGACGAGCAATTGGCAGTATAGCAGGATATATAGCAGATCGTCTAGCGAATAAGAACTAGCCCTACTAAAGAAGACGAGCATGTAGTTAATAACATAGAGGATAGAGAGAAGCTAAAGGATCGACTCCTAAAGCTTTGGATGCTTCTTATCTGCCACACGACTAGCGCTCGCCGATATAAGTCGCCGTTGTTAAGCTTCTATGCCATGCTAAGCATTAAGCCGTCGACAAAAAGCTGGATGGAACCTAGCAACTTTAATAGCAGTCTCTTAGCCATCATATGGATTGTGCAACTGCTAATCTTCTACGACAGTGCCTTAAAAGAGCAGCAAGGCTATAGACAGACGCTTAACCTTATAAAAGCCTACTATGACGAGTATCTATAGCAGACTGTCGAGATACCGATGGGAGAGATTCTTAGGTGGCGTCTGTTGCTATTTAAGGTGTTAGGTGCTAGTGTTGGCACTTATGAAGCGTCTTAGGACGAGAGTGAGGAGGTTCTAACCTACGAGGATATAGAGCTACGTATGGATTAGATTCCATCCTTGCTTGCATCCGAGTACTAGGGTTGCTATTAGCTCCTCTACGACGATCTAATGCTAGGTCTAAAGGACCTTCGCCGAATAAGCCCTTACTTACTTAAAGATGGTGTTAATGTCGATATCGTCTGGTGGAACTTCACCTAGCATAGGGATAACATAAACACCCTTAATGGCATAGAACGTGCTTTAATAAAAGCCATCGAACGGTCTAAACAACTATGTCGAATCTTCCTTATTTAGGGAAGTTAGTCATCTAGCGGATGGGCATAGAGGGAGAGCGCGATGGCTAGTTACAAAGCTACCGTATAAGAGTTTCTTAAGCGACTAAGTGTCCTTATACACATTAGTGGTAGACAGCCCATCCGCAAGAGCGAGTTTTTCTCTATGACATATCGTAACACTTAGTAGCGACGGTCGATCATCATTCGCTTCGACCGTATGATGATCCACGTCTAGTACTACAAAGGCTAGCAGCAGATAGGGAACTATAAGGATAACGTTCGCTTCCTTACTTAGCCGATCGTAGAGTTGTTGCTCGACTACATCGTCTACGTGCTACCGCTACGGGAGAGGTTCCTACGGCAGACCTCGCTAGGATCATTGCTTTCGCCGTACCTTTAGGAGAAGGATAGGAAGGTATGGCTAGAAGGTCGTCTTAGTCGCTACCTAGAAGAAGCATGCGCTCGAGCGTGTGTGCTACGCCTTCACGTCGCGAATTAGAGACAGATCTCTATAGCCATTATAAAGACAAAGTTCGCTAGCCGCATTAAATGCTTCGATCCCGACTAAGATGACGAAGATGTAGAGGAGATAGATGTAACGATCTAAGGAATGACGGAACAGCGGAACTATAAGATAAGGATAGTTAACCAGGCATACGCCAACTAGATAGGGGCAGTGTTTAGCAACCTATAGGACGGAAAGGTACGCATGGGACTCTAAGCTTCGACGTTATGGCAGGACTTCTTAGGCGTTGAAACGATTCTTAAATAGAAGAAACGCGGCAGAGTCGAGTAAGAGTCTCGCTTTTTGAAACGGGTCGCTATAGGCATCTACCATCCTCGTAAGCCTTAGTCGACCGAAGCTCTCCTTAGAGGCGTAAAGAAGCTATACGGCGATAAGGACGTAGGCTAGAAATCTACCGAGCAGGAGCAAGCTCTTACTAAGATCATGTCTTAGACTGAGTAGGTTTTAGCCATCCTTCCTATAGGAGCTAGAAAGAGCTTGCTTTTATGCTTCCATGTACCCTGTCTAATGCTAGGACAACGATACTTATCGTGCCGCTCGTTGCACTTTACATAGACATGCTACGACGCGTATAGGAGATGAAGATAGATCACCTCGAGTGGTAGCTAGGCGAGAGCCAGGAGGCAGCACTAGTACTAGTTAGCGACGAGGCCGCTTCGACTAAGGACTTTATGAAGTATGCTCGCAGGCTAGTAAGAGAGCAGAAGCTCGATCGGATCGTAGTCGATGAGTGCCACCTAACTGTAACCGCGGCCGAGTATCGATCTAGCATGACTAAGCTTATAGCGATCCGGAGCTTAAGAACTCAGTTCGTCTACCTAACGGCCACTCTCCTACCTTACATACGAGTAGAGTTCGAGGAGAGGAACTACCTACATCGGCCGATAGTGATTAGAGCGTCTAGCAACCGACCGAACATCTTCTACATGGTACGTAAAGCCGATACCCGTAGAGGGAGCCTTATTAAGCAAGCTACAATCGAAGCTAAAGATGCATGGATAGAGTTAGGTCTCTTCGACCACGCTCGCGACAAAATCATCTTATACGTTCGAACGCGTAAGAACGTAGACGATCTTGCGGACTTGCTCGATTGCAATGCGTACATAGCAGAGAGCGGAACGCCGATAGAGAGAAAGAAGATACTCGATCGATGGATCTAGACTTTAGACACGCCTTATATCGTGGCTACGACCGCGCTTGCTAAAGGGTTCGACCATCCACACGTCCGGCTTGTGATGAACGTAGAAGAGCCAGAGTCGTTAATCGTCTTTGCTTAGGAGTTAGGGCGAGCAGGGCGAGACGGAAAGCGTGCGTACTCGATGGTGCTACTTCCTCCGGCTTGGCAAGCTATAGCTATAGGAGATCCAAGCGACTTGCAAAGCAGAAGCAACTACAAAGAAGACCGATCGCTACGAAAGCTTAAAGACATGCAGGCAGTGCATCGATATCTGCAAAGTGAACAATGCTACCGGACTTCTCTAAGCGACTTCTTATGAGCTCCAACATATTTGACCATGAGCTCAGGGTCCAGCTTAACGAGCCCAACGATCTTGTGATTTGTGCCAAAGCCTACGCTTGTCAACGTAACTGAAGGGTAGGATTACGATACATGTTTCAAGATTGTGGCAATGACTTGACGTGCCACAGACTTCGAGGAAGTTGGCTGAGTCCTCTCGACTGACGACTATCGCGCGATATTCTGTGAGTTTGCAGCAGACGTTAATGGTCGCTCAACGAAAATTCCGCCCGTGTGGTTCGACACATCCAAGCTCAAACTCTGGCTACGCCACGACCGGCGATCTCAGATCTGCAGGATTTGCGCCGCGCAATCTGCATGTGCTACGTTCTCACCTCTTACACTTATCTCTCAGGCTCTGGCGATCGGCCGTCCGATGACGATGGCACTCTGGTCCATGCTGACATGGCGGTCCGTCCTCTTCGCTCCCATATTATCGCACTTCCGTTGTGACTCTTAATCATTTTATGGTCCGTCAACTATAATTTAGCCGTAAAAGCACTGGAACATCTCCATCATGGATCAAGTCCAATATGTGCTTTGGTTATCATTCTTCTATCCTTACGGGATCCTGAGTTGGATTCTGCATCTGATCTTGTCCCTACGCACCGGTGTCAGTGCTGCTTTAGGGAAAGTGTCGGAACAGGAGAGATTACGTTTCGAGATCTGTATGTACCATTTAGGTCCGGCTGATGAGGCCGCGCATGGAAACTAACATCTGGGATAGCGCGGAACAACTTCTGGAATCTGGAAAAGCAGCCCGTACCTGGCTTCAAGCATTCTTTTACACGCTTCAGAATGGCAAAAAGTTACACTATGTTTCGAACTTTGCGCCTGGGACATCGGAGGCGAACCTACCCAGAGGTAATCTCTTCGTGTTTTTGCATGGGTTCCCAGATAGTTATGCAATGTGGCGTGGGCTTCTCAATGAGCCTGGCATGCCACTCCGAACCGCAGGCATGGTGTTACTCGATCTGCCAAATTTTGTTGGAAGTGACACATTCGAGGAACCAGATTCAAGCGTTCTAGAGGCAGTTGCTGAGTTTGTGATTGCTATGAGAGGAGAGTATGGACGAGAAATGCGCACTAATGACATGGTCATATCTTTCAAGACTGTGCTCGTGGCGCACGACTGGGGCTGTGTCATTGGATACAGATTAGCAAGTGAAGCGCCTGCTCTAGCCGATAGATTTTTGTTGACAAACGGACCACATGTAAGTCTTCAAGGACCTCGAGAGTCCCAATGTACGAACAGAGTGGCTGATTATCAAAAGATCCAGCTGGCGCTTGCAAACAAGGACATCCTTATCGCTACCTGTATCAGGAATATCTCACACTTCTGGAAGGGACCTTGGAAGAATATTGGTCACCTCCGTGGTTCGTTCAAAGCACTTCAACCGCTTTTGCTACAGATTTTGCTCTATGGATACATATTTGCTTTCCATCTCCCGAAGTTCATGATTCAGTTTCTCGGAAAAGCAGGCAATCATGCATTCATCCGCGGGATCTTGAGGAATCCACATCTCAAGGACATGAATGGATGAGATGCTCAAGAGTCGTTGGCTGCCACACTCGGGCCAGGTCCTACTGAACTGGACACAGTCACAGAAACAGGTGAGACGTACGGGCCAACTATCCAAGCTCGAGCTGTGAGCTCATCTGAAGCATTCTGGAGACAGACAGCCTATTACCGCTGCGGACTTGCATCAGGACAGTGGCACAAGTCCGCCAAGGTTAGCCAAACACTCTCGGCTTTCGAGTCAAGACAAGCAGCATTCAGGGTTCTGCCAAAAAAGATGAATTGACATTTGCGGACGCTTCTTTGGATGGTCAACTCAAAGCTCCTGCGACTCTTCTCTGGGGTGAACAAGATATTGTCGTGAACAAAACTCTTTTCCTCGAGAGATTCGGTGATTATCTCCACGAACGGAGTGAGCTGATCCTTTACCTAGGACAGACCATTGGGCGCCGGTAAAGAAAGAGGGCAGACTTGCATTTGTTCCAGTGATTAGGGCTTGTGCAGTGGGAGAGTTGCCTGATTACTTCGAGACTGACGTAAAGAAAGTTTATAGTGGCGCAAGGGTCATGTTCACAAAGTGAATAAGAATAATTAGAGATATCGCAAGTCTTAGATGGAGGCGTTCCTCCGTAAGCAGATCTCATTGATATGATAAGTCACACTATTCTTCGTTTACAAGAGTGGCATACAGGTCCTTCTTTGCCTGCTCCTTCATAGGGAGATCATTGAGATGTCTAGGTGTAGTGTTCTCCATGTGAAAGTGCCGTATTGGATTGATTGACTGATTAATTTATTGATTGATTCGGTCAGGCTACTTGGCTGTACAGCAAACCTATGAGCCACCTCCTACTGGTTCTACCTTCCACGTTCCTCTTTGTCCTTGTTGCAATCCGGCTTCCCTTACTCGACTACTTTCGTCTGCCACGTAAACCATTCCGTCATACACAGGAAGTGAAGAGCACCCGGCGAAGCATTCCATTGCCGCCAGCAAGAATGCACTTCCTCGAATGTCGCAGGAAAAGGAAAAGTCCAGACGCTTACGGTCGACGGCACTCTGTCCCGTTATGCGTAAGCCGGCCGTGCACACAGCGTCATGTATATGTCCGAGGTGTTGCCGAAAGCCAAGTATTTGCCGTTGCATTAGGTCTCTTATCGAAGCAACGAACCCTTCGACCTTGACATCTCGAGTCACGTCCAACTATACACTTTTGTTGCAATATCACTTTCGCATCGATTTTCCAAAGCTTCACCGACCGACCCGATTAAATCGCGACGTGCGCCTCGAACACCCCAGCTCGTCTGTCGCCGCTGACGCCCGACCGTGGACGCGCCGTCTTTGCTCGTTACAGGAGTCCAGCCTCGGACACGTCGCTACAGCTTCATCAGAGGCTTTGGTGATCGCATCCGCGTTGTTCACCTGTTCAAGCTTGCTCGGCCCCCGACCTATGTAGACACTACGTGGCAGCACGTCTGTTGGGATTCGCAGCTCCGCACGTCACGAGAATCACACTCAAGTCAAGGCTGCTCTTCCGCAAAGCCTGGGTGGGTTGGTTCGCATGTTTCGCTACAACATCGCGGTAACTCCTGTCCAGGCTACACACATTTAGTGCGCCCTCAACCATGGCTACCCGTGCCGAGATGGACCATCTGGCTTCGAAACTCTCAACGCTCGACACCTTTTCATGGGTCGTGAGGGGGCTCCCTGTCGTCGCAATCATGCAAGAAGAAGGTCCACATGTCGCCGAAACGCTAGGTCAGCCACTTCACAAGAATGGAGCTGGACACGTCTTACGCCTCTGAATTGGTGTGGACCGGACCTGGATGGACCTGTTTATAACATTGACCATACGCACCAAGGTCTCACAAAAGCGACTGAGACCTGGCGCGGGCCGTTTTATGTATCTCGTGGTCCCGGCAGAGCATCTCCTCCTGCAAAGTGGCTTGGTCGATTATGGTGACAACCTCTNNCCCCTGGGCATCTTTGACATGCCTACTGATCTCGCAACCGGAAACTACAAGCTCATGCAAATGTCGTTCGATGTTGCTTCAGTCAAGAGCAGGGTGATAATGCCGGAGTATGAATTCAAGGCGGCACCGCCCGCGCAATCGTTAGCAATGCTCCGCACATTGAAGCGCCTTTCCACTTCACGACACTTCGATCTTTACGCAAATCCTGATAAGACATCTGACCGTGGTGTTAGAGACGCCTGTGACATGCTTTCAAGTAATCAGGGTCGACGGGTCAAGACTCCTACTGTAGACCTCAAAGCTCTGTATCCCGGTAATCGACCTGGTGGTATCAATCTCTGGTCCAATCAAGGCATACATGAAGATAAACCCTCTTCTGATGGAAAGCGCGATGCGACCACGTCCGTCGCACTTGGGCCGCCAACTGCTTCTGTCATTCAGCTGCCTCCGTACGAGTCGCCTTCCACCATTCCTCCCACAGCGTCTAATCGAGAGGGGACTGCTATCCATCCTGCACCCGAAGACATCAAATCTGGGTCCGTTGCAGTACAACCGCCACTGGAACACGATGGTTTGTTTTCGCCTCTGCCTCCCTCGTCACCACCAGTAGCTCAATCTTCGCTCTCTCCCGGCTATTCTGCGACCTTTTTGTCAAGCATGTTCACACCGATTGATACGGCCGCAGATCCACCCGTGTATACCGTAAAGGCATTCCCAGGTGTATTGCCTGCGACAGCACTGCAATCTGAGGCTTCGAAACACAGAGTCCAACGACTGGCGAGCGTAAGCTTCGACGTTGAGGTGGCTGCATCTTTACCAGTGGTCGGCACACCCAGGTGTACGCCTGGCGCAACCGGTTCTTCAGTGCGAGTCACAGATTCACCCAAGCGCAACCGTAGTCTACGGTATTCATGCACTGATGTGGGCAACAGCGAAGACCTACCATCTAAGAAAACATTCGTCGCCGATCGCACCCTGAATCGTCGAATACATTCTATGCAAGAACTGTTTAAATCTGACATTGTGCTCGTCTCCCCCACTGTGGTAGACAGTGCGCCACCATTCCTTGAACAGATCACAATCAGTGAGGAAGATGCTGATAGAGAGACGGAGGAAGAAAAGGCTGCTCCCATGACAGAATGGCTTACAGAAGCCTGGAAGTACTGTCCAGATGCATACCGCCTTTTCAATGCTGAGCTTTCGTGGTTCGGGTCTGCTTTGGCTTGTGGCGCTAACGTGAGCGTTATAGCTGACTGCCATCTTAGCTGCACCCTTGCTCTCATTCGACATTGTACAAGGATAGCAATCGCAGCATCCCCTGGTGCCACAGAATTGACGGACAAGAATCTCGTCAGAGATGCTGATCTTGCCACCTTGGTCACATGGCTCTGTGAACTACATCTAGGAGCTGACATGAAGTTGTTTCCTGCTCTGCTGGAATTATCACTACTAGGGCAGAGGGTGTTTCGTACGTGTCCTGGAGCCGTGGGGCTTGATGCCCTAAAGTGCCAATACACCCGACAGAAAGCAGCAATTGTAATTCGCGCTTATCTTCGGTTTGGCCAGCAGCCAGATCGTGATGATCACGGGATGGTTGCAAGAATCAGTGCGTAATAGTGCCGGTCTTGCCCACTGACTTATCTCTCGCAAAGCACGTGAAGACTTTATACGGTTTTATTCTTTCTTGCTTTTACCATTTTCTACGGATCATGTCTCTTTCTTTTATCTCACTGGTACGATTATAACATATAGCTTAGCTATCTAGGATACTGGCCTGCTTATACAATGATTTTATCTCTTGTCTGGATGCTTGTTAAGGAGTATAGATCTACCAAACGTCGGTCGCGAGATGGGTTATAGAAAGCCAACGCGAGGTTGATTCCTCGACAAACCACGGTGTTCGCTATGGCCGCATATCACTAACAGCGACTTTATTTAGCTGCGATTCGATTTTAATGAAGCTCGATAGCTACTTTGTCATTCTGGGAAACAAGATTCTTTATTTCAAGACGTCAGCTGTCGACCTTTCCTCGGTGAAGCATCGGTTCCGTGGAACATCGGTCCCGTGAAACATCAGTCCCGTTTCTCCGCTTCGGCAAGCATTGCGTTCCGGGAAAGTTTGGCAAGATAAGCTTCGATGACTCCATGCTCAAGCGCTACGCGACCAGACTTACTCAATGATACTAATGTACATCCTACTAGTTGTTCTTCGAATCGAAGTACTTGGTCCAGAGTTACACTCAGGGCGTTGGTCAATCGGCTTGGCTGTGTTCGATCTCACTCACTCAACAGGGACATGTCGCTATCTCTAAGTAAGTCGTTGTTTTCTGTAGAATGGGTGGAGGCTGTTTGGAGGATTCGGAACTGCCACACTCTCCCTTTGTCATCTTTCTAGTTGCGGCAATATCTCTCTTCAGATTGTCCTTGTGTTCGGTTAGAATGAGCTGCTAATTAACCATAAGGTGTAGTCGTTAACGATTTCTTCCGAGGCTCGCTCTAAGAAGACCAAAGAAGTGCGTTAACCTTAACCGTTGATTTAGATGGGACTCGGGTCGTCTCCTGATTGGTTCGTTCGGACTTGGCTTACCAAAGCGCTGGGTAAAACACTTGCGTCTCTCCTCAGCGTCGTCATCTACTCGGCCTACTCATAGTAGTTGATAGGAAAGGGATAATGAGCTAAGTTGAATTGTACTGCAGGCCGCAATCGGCGAGTAAGAAAGAAGTATCAATGTATCCACTATCGGATGATACAGATTAGCCATAGATGTATAAAAGTGTCAGTGTCAACTCAGTTACTTTTCCTCAAAAGCAAAAAATCAATCATGCTCTCTTTCTGCTCCAAGCTAGTCTTTCTTGCATTTGTATTGCCTCTACCAACGTTCGCATTCCATCCTTGTCCGATCTTGGGTCCAGCTTACCCTATACCTCCATCACTCGGGACATCGTCAATCATTCATGCCGGCACCAACGACCTCACTCATGCCCTTGATACTCTAATTTCGACGGGAAATTCTTCCCATGGTGCAGTGACTTCCAACACGACATCTTTCAGCATCGCTTTGTTCTCTCCTTCGAGTTCCAATGTCTCATTCTTCTATGAGTACCACCACACGGCACCTTTGGCGACAAATTCGAGCTCCAAATCTATAAAGAAAGACTCAAGAAGCGTTTACCAACTCGGTGATCTGACCAGACTTCTCACCGTCTACTCATTCCTCCATGAGATGGGCGATCGACTTTGGCTGGATCCAGTCACAGATTACGTGCCTGAATTGAGAACAGTTCAAGATCGCGGCCGCAATCCCAGCCTTGGGATCGATTGGAAGGAAATTACGCTAGGAGATCTGGCCAGCCACATGAGCGGTATTGGTAGAGATGGTGAGTCTTGAGGAAAACAAGCATGACTTATATAAATAGATACTGACACCAGAAGTTGGCTTAACAAACGTCCTTTCTGGCACAATCGATCAGCAAATCTCCAACAATACGTCATTTGCTAGCAAAGGAGACCCTAAGACCACGTATAGAAAGGGTACTGCCGTCCAATCCTGATTCAGAGGGCTTGCACTAATATGACAGCTCAGCATTTTTCGCAAGGTTCGAGGAAAGATCGCCAGTTTTTTACCTTCAACTACACCAGTGTACTCGAACGTAGCTTTCCAGATCCTCGCTTATGCGCTTGAAAGCATTCTAGACCTCGGTTTCGCAGAGATCTTGCAAACCTCTGTTTTGGACCCTTTAGGCATGTATGACACGACTTTGCTGCCATCTGATATTGTATCAGGGGCAACCACGAGCAACTTGAGCGCCTTCAGTTCGTCGTCGAATCTAGGAGAGTTATCCTTGTAAGTCAGCCTTGACGCATTGCGCAATGTCTCAGTCTGACCACTTTGAAGTGCAAATGGAGCTTCCACAAGCATCCGCGACCTCTCCACTTTCGGTAGTGCAATCCTTGCATCTTCCCAATTACCTCAGTCAGTCACTCGCCGCTGGTTAAAGCCCGTCGCTCACACATCTAATCCTGCAAACACCGTCGGTCGACCATGGATTATCTACAACGGCGGAGGTGACACGGTCCTAGAGATTTTCACTCTTTTCGGTAATATTGGACTGCACAGCTCTTACCTTGGTCTGGTACCCAATTACAACATCGGTTTTGCCATCCTCGCTGAGGATACTGAGAAGAGCGTTGATCTAAATGCTTTTGCCGATATCATTGGTGATGTGCTCCTGCCTTCCGTCGTGGAAGCTGTGGTTTCCGAAGCCGCGGTCAATTATGCTGGCACATACAATGCTCCATCTGAATCATCAGTGAAGATCAGTGCTAGAGATCAGTACGGTCTGGCAGTATCAGAGCTTATTGTCAATGGAACAAATATCGTGGATGCTATCGCAGCAGCAAATAGTATCGCTCCTGGTGCGTTGAGTATCCGCTTATACCCTACAAATCTCCAGCACAGGACTGGAAGCTTGACGAAGACTGCTTTTCGAGCAGTGTTCCAAGACAATTCGGCTCTGGCGGATGGCGGTACTGCGACTTGTATATCTTGGATGGGACTAGATGCTTCGGACTTCGGAGGCAAGGCACTTGACCTGTTTATCGTTGAACTTGATCGTCGGGGTAAAGCGGTCTCTGTAGGCATTCCCGCCTTGAAGGTGAAGCTTGGCAGAGCAGCCAGGGTCTAGAAGGATAGGGCAAAATATTCCTACTTTGCTCACGATTTGTCTGATTGGTAGTGGCTCGATGTTTATGGCTTGAGCATCTCATCTTGACCTGGAGTTGAGATAAGAGCTAAATATTGTGGAGTAGATCAGGCAGCGACAAGATAGTATAACCTCTCTGGAATGGACAGCCGAAGCGTTCCATTGTCTGACCTCTATATCTGAAGCACAACTTCGACTTCTTGCAGCTCGTGCTTCCCTGACACACCAACTGACACAACCCGTTCCAATTCTTCCAATCACAGCATGCCCTGGCCAACATCTGCAGCTCCTCTTTCCCATAGCAATTCAATACCACAGTTTCATCGCCAAGCTGTATGATATCCGTGAAGTCGTGCGCTGCTACGACGATAGGTCATCAAATCCAGCTGCTATCGTCGTTCCTACCATTACTGTCGTTACAGCGCCTTTCAAGCTTCAATTCGTCATTCGTCAGAACCGCGAAACCCTGCAAGATAGCGACACTAGCCTTACTGATGGTAATAGGCCACGGATCGCAGTCCTTAAAGAGATGGATGAGACATTTATACCTAATACATGAGGTATCCCTGCTTTGACCGCAACCTCGTCCTAACCCGGCCTTTCGCACGGGGCACAATGGTTCCACTAGATAAATGCTTAGCTAAGACTAGCCTTTCTTCTCTACCTGCGGTGGGCACGTCTAAGACTTCGTGACCATGTTCAGTACAGTCAATAAATCGGAAATATGAGTTATCCTACCATGAGCGGTCGTGTATCCTGCATAGAGCAATGAGAAGAGCTGCTCTAAGTTGACACGTCTAAGATCGGGATACGCGTAGACTAATACAGTGTGGGTAAGTATGAAATATCATCTCTTTTATGTGTCCAGCTGTTTCTCGACCCCATCCTGCATAGATTCACTCACCTTCTCTAATCTTTTCGTACTGGCGAAATCTGCCGCCAAGAATCACTCTTCATAAGAGAAAGACCTATTAGCGGTTAATATATAGATGAGAACTGGAAGGATCGGGCTGTACTCCTACTTGCATGGTCTAAGACTCGATAGGATCGTTACGGATAGGTGTCCGGGTGTAATATGTAAAGGGGGACCCTATAGCACGTGCTACTCAATTGTCTCTCCTGCCTAAAATAGAGGTAAAAAGGCTGATTATGGATCTCATTAAGACAATTTTTTATGTTGGATTTACAAGACACATTCCTGTAAATAACCGAGTAACTAGACAATTCCCCGGGCAAGGCCTATAGGGCCAAATGGAGTGTGGTTTAGGAAAAGAAGGAAAAAAGTAAGAAGAAAAAACGAAAAGCTATTAGGGTCACTTGCGCAACTCGAAGCTAAGATCTAACATTAATAGAGCGGATGTTAAATGGCATGAAATAAGTAGAATATTAACATATTCCATAAGTTTCAAGTGGAATATTCTGTCCCGTTAACATAGAATAGAATCATTAGTTTTAGTAGAACGTTCTAACATTCCACTGCTTATTATACCTTATGTTACTGTCGCTAAGAGTTCATATGGTAGCAAGCTTATAAATCCGATCTAATCTCGGAGATAAGATCTCCACTCGAATCTAGTAAGAAGAGCAGGGTTATCCTAACGTATAATAGGGTTATTATAACAACGACGATAGAGTTAGAATTGGCATTATACCATGCCCGGCCTAATTAACGACTAAATGGAAGTTTAAGTCTAAGGTCTAAAATTCTATTTTTCTTTTTTTAGCTAGTTAAAGTCTCTAGTACTTAGTTCTTACCTAGTATAGACACTCTAGTAGTATAAGATTACTATAAAAGTATTAAAAAGCTAAAATAAGCTTAGTATTATATACTTCTTTAGTTTATCTCTAGATCTAGACTTTTTACTTAGATCTAGACCTTTTATAGTATTCTTAGCTTAGTTTCCTACTAC